TTATTAAACTTCTATTTATTTAAGAGAACTATCAAAACTCCCAGGCCCTGCAATAATCCTGATAACCTGTAGATTTCAGCATCCAGAAAGTAATTTCATAGGACTATCAGTTTTATGAGAGATCAAAAGTTGTGTCAAAACTAGCATACAAAAGTAAAAATTAAGGCTTGGAGGTCCAAGCCTGCCATAGTACATATTCAGAAAAGCAAATTCTTATATTTTATGACATTGTGTAAGTATGTTAAAAAAATTGGCAGAGAATCCACTAATCGCAATCTTGACCTTCCCCACATTAAATTGGATGAGAGCAGCCGCACTACCTAGTTTCATTGTGGAGGCATGGTAAAAACAGGTTCTTGGACCAGCACAATTTATATTTCTATATTTCCTATGACAGGAGAGAAACACCTTTATGTGACTATCAAAAACATCATCTTTAGTCTAAGAGTTCAGCTGGTAGGTCTGCATGTTTGCTACTCATTCAACTGATTATTCTTTCACGTACATAAACCTATCTATTTTTCCATATACTTTATAGGGTTAAAAATAAGTGATCCAATCTCATGATTTCTCAGTGCAATTTGATTGAAGTGGTTTATTTTCTCATCTACACCAAAAATTAAAGTTGGTAATTCCTTTCTATTTTTTTTTTAAAAAATTCCCATTCAGGGAGCATTCAATGAACTCAGGCAAAGCGAGTTGTTTTTTGTAGCTGGCACTTTAGCTTATATTAAAAGTTCCAATCAGATGAAGATAAATCAGCAGGCTACAGGGCGTTCTATGAAGATGTTGTGTTTATAAATGGCTTCTATAAAAACCATCCATTTTAAATAGGGGACATCTGGTACCCTATTTCAAAGTTGTTTTCAATCAAATGATCTCCCATAATGAAGTTGTGTCAGTGGGGAGACAACTGACAGAATTTTTAAGATCACTTTGTGAAGCCTGTTCAAAAGGTTTTTCCTCCAGACCATATTGTGATCAATTCCACAGCACATTTGCTGCTACACAAGGCCAGCTGTTGCATCTGTTTGTCTTCTTCGTTAGTATCCTCATACAAAAGCAAACAAGAAAAGCACACACACGCTTTCTGAAACTCCACCACCTGATGATTCTTTCTTTTGTGTAGGTGTGGGAGGGAAAAGATCTGGCTTGAAAGTTAAATACCAGGAAGAACTAATTGTTGCATCATGTTTAGAGTACATTGTGTACTTATTAGGTCTAATTCATATTACATTATAGTGCAACAGGTTTACCAGCATTAATGGATATTTATGCATAGTGCATTAATGAATGTGCCACTAAAGAAAGGAGAAAATATTGAAAAAAACAATCTCAGGTCCTTTACTGCATCCTTTGTGGATGTTAAAAGAGTAGAAGAGTAGTCATTATATATTTTTCTGGATGTATGTTATTTGTTTGTTTGTTTGTTTTATTTTGTTTTGATATTTTTCTGGATATGTTGTTTCCCCACCAAAAGCAACATTCCAAATTATCAGGGGGGGGGGAAAGCAAAAATACATAATTTTATAGCCGTGACAATTGCCAGGATAACTGTTTCATTCTAATCTTTTCACAGTTTTTGAGGTCAACTGGAAAACAGTTTTAATTCAGTGATAGGTCACATAGTTACTGAAACTCTTTTTTGAGAATCTGGGTTTTGCAAAATGACCTGTTAACTTTTGGGACTAATAATAATAATATGTAAAGAGAGACAGAAGGAGGGAGGGGGAAGAGAGGGAGGGAGTGAGGGTGAGAGAGAGAGAGAGAGAGAGATCACAAAAGCAAGGAAAGTAGAAAACTGGAAAAACCTTGTCCTGGCCCACCCCTACTATTGTATAATTCACTTCCTTCTGTAATTAGTTCAGTCCTTACCTTGCAATTTCCTCTGGCACAAGGATTCCAGCCTTTTGAGATGCTGTCTGATCATAGAGTGTCCTTACTTAACTTCGGAAGAGCCACGAGACAGTAAATGCCCCAGCCAATTCCTCTGGTTGGCCAGCTGCTTTATCAATATGAAAAAAAAAGTTTCTGGCAGAACCAAAGGCAGTTGAGACCCTTTTCCTGACGGTGATTAATGAGAATAGGATGTTGCAGATTTGCAGTGGATTCCAAAGTATGAGACCGAATAGACTGTCCTATATTTAGGAGCAAAAGAAGTGATTTCAAAAGCTGGCCGATGTTTTTAATTTTGAAATGTAAGGACTGTGATTCTATTCTGATTTGAGCAGCTGGGGCGGGAGGTAGGGGCGGGGAGAAATTTAGCTTCCTCTTTCTTTATAGTTACAATCCTACTTCAGACACATAATGTGAAGAATCCAGCTGTCTGGGAAAGGTGGAAGGAAAGAGAACAGGACAACCAACAGCAAGCGGATGGACTCAGAGTGGCAATGAGTGTACCACTGAGAAACTTGAAAGAAGAGTTTAGAGATAGATCGTCACAGAGAAAATCCATATGGTAGCTAGGAGTAGAAAATGACTTGATGGGACACAAATAAAATCTCTAGTTGGAAGAATCTATTTTCACTTTCTGAACCTTATCTCTTAGTTTCTGCATAATGCAAGTCCAGAAATGTTCTGGGTGGCTCCAAGCAAGCTGAATAAATGGTTGGAAAACAAATGTCCCATTTCATAATTGCAGTGGTGCGAGTCTCATTAGTTTGCAGTCTGTGTTGGCAGGGGGGCAGAGGTCGACCTCGAGGCACCTTATTTGTGGGGTGCCGCAAGGGTCAGTCCTCTCACCCCTTCTGTTCAACATTTATGTAAAACTGCTAGGTGAGATCATCCGTGCTTTTGGGGTGAGTGTTCATCAGTATGCTGATGACACACAGCTATACATCTCCACCCCAGACCACCCCAATGATGCCCTTGCTGTGATGTCCCGTTGCCTGGAGGCCGTGCGGATCTGGATGGGGAGAAACAAGCTCAGACTCAACCCCTCCAAGACTGAGTGGCTGTGGCTTCCGGCGTCCCGGTACAGTCAGCTGGTACCATCACTGACAATTGGGGATGAGATCTTGCTCCCCACAGAGAGGGCCCGCAACTTGGGTGTCCTCCTGGATTCACGGCTATCTTTAGAAGATCATTTGATGGCCGTGGCCAGGGGTGCCTTTTATCAGGTTCGCCTGATCCGCCAGTTGCATCCCTTTCTGGATTGTGATGCCTTGCGCACAGTCACTCATGCCCTAGTCACCTCCCGTATGGACTACTGTAATGCTCTCTACATGGGGCTCCCCTTAAAAAGCACCCGGAGGCTCCAACTGGTCCAGAATGTAGCCGCACGGGTGATTATGGGCGCAGCTCGTTGTGCCATGTAATACCTCTCCTCCACGAGCTGCACTGGCTCCCGGTGGTCTTCTGGGTGCGATTCAAGGTGTTAGTTATCACCTTTAAAGCGCTCCATGGCTTAGGACCTGGGTAGCTACGAGACTGTCTTTTGCCACCAATAGCCTCCCACCGACCAGTTCGTTCTCACAGGGAGGGACTACTCAGGGTACCGTCAGTCAAATTATGCTGACTGGCGACTCCCAGGGGGAGGGCCTTCTCTGTGAGGGCTCCAACCCTTTGAAATGAACTGCCCCGAGATACGAAATATCCCTATCTCCGTGCTTTCCACCATGCCCTCAAAACCCTGATGTTCCAACAGGCGGGGCTAAACATATGAACATGTGAATGTTTTTAAAATGTTATCTAATTTTAGGTTCTATTTAATTGGGCCAAACTATGTTATAATAATAATTTTAATTAGCAATTTTATGATGTTTGTGTATCTATATTTTTCTTGACTGTACACTGCCTTGAGTCCTCCGGGAGAAAGGCGGTATAGAAATATAATAAATAAATAAATTAATTAATTAGAACACATACATATGTATTATTGTGTAAGGGAGGCAACGTGTAAAGTCTTATCCATCAAAACAAGTTACCTGGCTGTCGTTCCCCAAGACACATGGATGTTTTTAAAATAAGTATTGAACAATCTCTTGCACTGATCCTCTAACGCTCATTCCCCTGCCGTGTAAGAAGCAGGTACAGATAGTCCTCGAGTTACGACCATAATTGAGCCCAAAATTTGTGTTGCTAAGTACAAACATTTGTTAAGGGAGTTTGCCCTATTTTACGACTTTTCTTGCCACATTTGTTAAGTGAATCATTGTATTTGTGAAGTTAGTACCCTGTTTTCCCCCAAATAAGGCATCCCCTGATAATAAGCCCAATCGGGCTTTTGAGCGCATGGCAATAAGGCCAAGCACTCATTTCAGGGTTCAAAAAAATATAAGATAGGGTCTTATTTTCAGGGAAACACGGTAACACGGTTGTTAAGTGGATCTGGCTTTCCCATTGACTTTGCTTGTCAGAAGATGGCAAAAACTGATCACATGACCCCGGCACACTGCAACTGTCATAAATATGAACCACTTGCCAAGCATCTGAATTTTGATCACACGACCATAGGGATGCTGCCCATTATGCCGTGGTCATTAAGTGTGAAAAACGGTCGTAAGTCACTTTTTTTCCAGTGCCGTTGTCACTTTGAACGGTCCCTAAATGAACTGTTGTAAATCAAGGACTACCTGTATTTGTCAGCTACAACTTTGAAAACTCTTTGAGTGCTGGAAAGGGGAGGAGTTGTTCCTTTGTTGCATCCCTTCTTACAAGCCAAACGGCGATCGAAGGCGGCAGGAGAGGCTTCTTCCCAAAAAAGAACCGGGTTTAATCCAACCGGGTTTCTCGCTGGGTTCAGGCACGGATGGCTTTTATTGATTTATTCGAGGGCCGAGGAAAGGGTTAATTTTGGAAGAGGGAAGCCAGAAGGGGGGGAAAGCTGGAAGAGTTCGTCTCGGCGCCCCGCCCCCGCGCGCGTGTGTGTGGAGGTGGCGCGCGGCGGGAGGGGGTGGGTGGGAGGCAGGAACGGCGGGGGGGGGGGGGGAAGAGCCGGCCAAACCTGGCCTCCCTCTCCTGTTGTTCTCTCCCGACGTCTCGGCCCAGGCTGTAAGTCGAGGAAGGCAAGGCCGCGCGCGCTCCGGTCAAAAAAAAAAAAAAAGCGCTCTCAGCCCAGCTGCTTTGGCAGTAAGACATGCGCATTGCGGAGCGCCCTCTCACCCCGCTCAGTTATGCCAAGTATGTGAGAGCCCGAGCTGCAGCAGCAGCAGCGGCGGCGGCAAAGAGCGAGAGGCGCCCAAGGACCAACTAGAGAAGATCATGGCGCGCTCTGGCCAGCCGCGCTCCAAGCTGTTGCGCTTGCCGTTGCCACCGCCGCCGCCTCCGCTTTGCTCCAGGAGCCACCAAGCAGCGGCACCCCTGCTGCGCTCGACGGCAGCGAACTGAAGGAGACGACCCAGGCATGGCTGACCCTCTGCGAAGGACTTTCTCCAAGCTGCGAAGTAGGAGGTCGCAGCGAGTAGCCACAGGCGCCGGGGAAGCCGCCGCCGGAGACCCCAGCGAGAGAGGCTGCAGGGGCGTCGGAGCCCGTGGAGGGAAAACCCAGCAGAACCTGCACCTCCATCACCCCTGCCTGGAAAACGGAGTGGCGACCGAAGCGTGTCCCGGGTTGGGAAGCCAGGTGGGCGGTTGTGAAGTGCTCCTCGTGTCTCCGGGCTTGCGGGAATCGGCTGCCTGGTCCCGATGGGGAAAGGCGGAGATGCCCGGAGAAAGGTTGCCGGGAGCCTCCGTGGCCCGCGCTTGCCCTCCGAGAAAGCGCGCGGAAGGCAGGGCGCTGCAGCAGCCGAGCCCCCCGGAACTCCGCGCGCCTCCGCTGGCCGCCGAGCTCTGCTTCTCCTCGTCGTCCTTTTTCCCGAGGGGCTCGGAATCCGGCCCGGCCCTGGAGTGCGGCGGCGGGAGCGAAGAAGACGACTATTACGATAACCAGCGACTGCCTGGCTGGGGCTGCCAAGGAACGGCCCGAACGCCCGAAGAAGCAGCCCGGGGAAACAGGGAAGGCAACGCGGCCGCCGGTCCGGCTGCTGGCGGCGGCAGCCGGGCCAGAGCGAGAGAAAGCACCGGCAAACTGCGAAGCCAGCTCCAGGAGGCGTATTACCTGTTGATCCACGCCATGCACGACCTGCCTCCGGCCAGCCCCACCGCTGGAGGACCCTCGCCCCAGCCCACTAGCCATCTGCCCGCCTCTGAGGCTGCAGAGAGTGATGCTTTACGCTGGTCTTTCTCCTGCGCAGACGGATGTTCGCCGTTGCAAAGATCCGATCCCTGTGCCCAAAGCGCAGCCAAGAATCCCATCTGGCGCCAGGGCATCAGCAAGAGTCTGGAGAGCCTCTGCTTTCCCCAGCCTTCCGCATCCAAGCTGCCGCTCCTGCCGAGATGTCGGAGCGAAGGTGCGCTCCAGTCTCTGCCTCAAGAGCCACTGGAGCCCCGTGGCCACCTGCTGCTCGAACCTCAGGAACTTGGCACCAGCCGGGAAACCTGCTTCCTGGCAGCTGCCGCACATGGCTCTGGTGACAGTGACTGTGAGAAGAGTCTCAGCAGCCAAGGCCTTGGTGAAGCACATCCCCCAGGGCTCCAGGAAGACTTGGAGGAGCTGTTGGCCCATGAGCTGTATGGAGCCCAGGGTAAAATGGTGGATCCAGCAAGAGCAGCCAGGTGTAGCCGTGAGGGAAGACCCCAGCAGCCCCCAGAAGATGCCTCCCCGGGCCCCTTCAAGCCACCCGCCGTGACTGTTCGGAAGCTGCAGAAGTGGATGTACAAAGGACGCCTGCTCTCCTTGGGCATGAAAGGCCGGGGTGGGACAGCTGGGATGTCCCCCCCATCTTCCCGCACCAAGGTCACTGGGAGTTGCAGGCCACTTCTTGGCAGAGGAGAGGGGCTCACACTTTCGCCCCCTGCTCACTTGAACGGCCCAGGGGCCAAGGCCCGAGTATCCCCTTCAGACCAAAGAATCTTGCTGACAGGTAATGATTTCTGTGGTCTCCTGTTTTCCTTTCAAGGGCCTTGTGAGCCTAAGGGCTTTGTCCCACTTTTGCTGTTAAGAGTTTCCCCTCTTTCTTGCTTCTCCGTGGTGAAAGACTTAGCTTGTTGAATGTCTGCTAAGCCTAGGAAACCAGCCATTTTGAAAGCTGATAACCATACCAAAGCCTCGTGTACTCTGTGGTCTTTTTCCAATTGGCTTATCTCTTCAGCAGCTTCCAGGGGCGAAAAAGGTAGTTTTACTTTTCCAGCCTGGAATACATGATTTATGCAGTGAAGTTAATTGAACCTTGTTTACACAATATTATACAACCCTCCTAATTTTCAACCCAGAAGGCATGCAAACTCCAATGCCAAAACCTAAAATGTAAATAGCAGGCTAAATCTTCAGGGGAGAAGGAGTCTCTGTCCGTGTTTGTAGAGCAGAGCTAGACATTTTCCATAAGGAACGTACCACAGTTGAGTTCCTTTCGGCATAACCTGCTGCATAATACAGTCTGGTTAAATGTTAATACTTGTGTAAACTGCTTCTGTTCAATGTTGACAGTTTAAATGTGTTTTTCTTTGGCTTTATTATTATAGTTTGAAGCATATGGTGTCATGCTTCTGGAACTCCTGTTGCTAAGAGTGCAAGTAAGGATGAGAAATAAGCATATTTGACAATCCTTTTGTAGCTAGTATCATAACCTGTAAAAAATTGCCACGACAACAATGTATACTCTAATATGTCACATGTAACATATAGAAGTTGCTATTGTTTTAGGAATTTGGATACCCGGTGAAGAGAGATAGGGTTTCCACATGGTATTTGCTACACACCTACTTCTTATTTCTCTCAATTAATATGAGTTCACAAATGATGTCTCCATATGTATACTTCGACCTTCCCTAATTAGATCACCTGTAGATTGAGCATACTGTAGTTAAATGTGACCAGGGACTATACTGGCTAGGAATTCTCTGAGCTGCCATTCAACACACTTGGGACAGTAGATTAAAAAATGGACAGTGCTAATAAAATTGGACTACCACTTACATCATTCCCTGGGTAGGAAGCTAAGGGTAATGAGCATTATAGTCCAAAACAGTTAGACTGTATCTGATACACAATTAGGCAAGTGGTTTCAGAAGTTGAAATGAAGGCTGTGTGAATGTTTGATTTTCAGATTCAGTTCAAAAAGCTGATTTGGATAAACTGATCTGATTTAAATTGGTTTTGGTTATTTTGGATATTTTGCATACCTACATAGGAACTTTTTCAAAAAAGAACTGACTATTTGGTTTTCATGGACTCCTGGAAATATCAGTGACATATACATAAATACTCTTCTCATCTCTCTTTTAAAACCCCTGCTTCAAGCAGCAGCAGAAATTGAAAAAACATGGGTCTGGTGAAGCCCTGTGACCTCATTTTATTCTGTCTATTCTGAGGGGTGAAATATTCTAGGAAGAGCTGCCAACTCAGCATGGCCATTTCTAGAAAATGGCTTCCTTTGTATATTAATTGTGTGTGGCTAAAGTGAGTTAATAACTCACTTATTCAAGTACCCATATGTGAAGCAATCTTTCTAAGTCTCATTCCATTTATTTCTTTTAACCCAGCATTGCAATAGTTCAGCATAAGCCTGAATCTCACTAAATGTTAATAAAGGGTCAGGGAGGAAGATGGGACAAAGTAGAATGAACTATCTTTTAAATTACAATGAAGGGAAAAAAATTGAGGGAGAGCCTTCGTAACTATGCCTTGGCTCCAGACCACACATATTCTTATGTGCGGAAATTAGAAGTTGTAGGTTTTTAAAATGGCAATCTGGTTAATTACTTGTTGGGATAATCATCTTTTTATTGTGCATGCCTATTTTATCATCATCATCCTGAATCAGTTCATTACAATATGAAGACATCTTCACTGAACATTATGGACCGAATCTATTGGTCTACTTCAGTGCAAGTTGTTAGACTTTATAGACTAGGCTTGAGAGAGAGTGACTTCCCAAAATCACCTAGTGAGCTTCTGTGCCTAAGGGAGGACCAGAATCTAAATCTCCATGCTCCAATACCTTAAGCACTGTACCACATTGTTCTTGCATGCCTATATAGTAGGCAAGGAGGGCCATCTCAGAAATGTGTAGCTTTACCAAACCTTTAATTCTACTTGCATTATTGAATAACTTCTGAATCAGCTAAATTATTTGTTTTTCTTTTTTTAAGAACTAGACATAGCCTTAAATCTAGTTTTTACATGTATGGTTATGTATGAACGGTTATGGAAACAAGTTATGTGTTCAGAATCCACTCTTCAGAAACACAGGTATCTATAATGTAGGAATAAGCATCTTCTATTTTAATATATTCTGATCTGTTGACTGGGAGCTAGTTTGGAATAGTGCTTAAGGCATCAGGCTAGAAACCATGAGATCATGAGCTTTAGGCCCACATTAGGAATGAAGCCCTGGGTGATCTTGAGCCAGTCACTTTTTCTCAGCCCTGAAAAGGAAGGAATGACAAACCAGTTTTGAAGGACCTTGCCAAGAAAACAGCAGGGACTTTGCCAGGCAGTGTCCGAGAATTGGAAAGAATTGAACAGTAGTAAACAAAAATTGAATTGGAAAGAATTGAGCAGTAGTAAAAAAAAAGATTATTTATATTTATGTTGTTATGTTAGCCTTCAAATATTTATCTTACTTAATATTTATCAGAAATATTTATCTTACTATATAGTAGAATTAGCCAGTTTGGTGACTTCCTTGTATCTTGAACTTCAATTCCTATGAGTTAGCATAGGTAATAGTCAAGGTTTAGAGGAATTTATGCATTTGTTAGATATATATCCTATCTTTTAGGAGCTCAAAGTGACAAATGTAGTATTCTCTTCTCCCCTTTTTTCTACAGCAGTCAATCTGTGACATAGGCTGGGCTAAGCAAGAATGAGTGGTCCAAAGTTACCTAGGAAGTTTCCATAGCTAAGGGTAGACTTGAACATCTTTCTCCCTAGTGCCAGTCCAGCACTTTACCACAACACGATACAGGCAGAATTATATGCCCACACTGAATTTCATAAATTCAAAATACCTGGAGGACATAGGGTTGATTGTCCACATCTCAGAAGCATTGCATAATCCATCAGAAATTGCATAATCCATCATGCTTAATCAAAATCAGTTAAGTAGTAGATGTACTGCAAGGGTGTTCCATATCCACCCTCTGATTCCTTCAGCGAGTGGAGAAATATGATTTCCAAGCTACCTTAGCTTGAGTTAACTGCTTTACTAAATGCTGTGTGTGTGTGTGTGAGATACTACAAATATTTGCTTAGTCTCTCCAAATTATGCATATTTTCTTCATAGAGGAATTGGAATCAATACCAGCTAGTACAACTGCTTCTAAAGTTTGTTGAATTTCCAGGAATTTTACACGCCTTTGTATAAATTCTCTCCGGGTGTTGCTGGAAAATCCAAGAAGTAAACCTGCTGTGTTATTCAGGACCCATCCCCCAACGTTACTGTGTTCAGGTGAAAAGGCGTTACAGGTGTTTATGCTTTTCATAATGTTTGAAGAAAGACTGAATTACATTAATAGGCATTCCCTATCTTGCCCTTTTAGCAGTGTGTGGTCTCTCATTAACTGTAGAATCAGTTACATTTTAGTATGGTTTCTTTTTCTTTCATGTTACAACTTTTCCATGTAAGTACATACTAAATTACTGTAGTAGAAAATGCTTTTCAAGCGTGCAGCCACATTTTGTTTTATGTTCTGTTTTAGGATTATAACAGGTTTAAAGTTTCATTGCTTTAAATCCTACTAGATTTATTACAAAACACTTCTTCAGAAAAATATAATTAGCAAAAGCATACTAAGTATTGGTTGCAAAATATTATTATATTTCACATATTGTTTTACAGGCATAGGGAGGTTACAATGCATATAATTATAATGTACCTTTTAATTATACAAAGTTGAATAGGCATAGTAAGAGAAGCAGATATGTTCAAGAAGTAACTATGCTATGTTGTGAACAATTTTTGGCATGTAGAGTTATAGTATCTTGCTTAGAATTACTGTTTAAAGCAAAATATAAATACTAGCACAGTGAGCAATTAAATGATAGCAAGTTCAATTTAGAATGGATGGTATTTAAATGAGGAATTCTCCATCTTTAAAGGAGACTTAGAAGACCTTATGAGAATAAAAACAGAAAGAGAAAAATCTGTGTTACCTTTAAATATAAAGAAGACAAGGTAATATCAACATCCATGAGTTTACACTTGAATATGTGAAATAGCGTTTTTTTAAGCAGAAGGATAAAGATGGGCATTGTGCTTGAGACGTAAAGACAAGTTTAATCCTAAAACCAATGCAGTACAAATGTGGGATAGATCATAAAGGATCAGGTCATTTTCGTAAGAGTAAAGATACTGGTTAAAGCAGGGGTCTTATATGGTACTGTACAGTTGTGAAAGCTGTTTACTTTGAACTTCAAATTATGAGTTTGGAATTGGCTACTACAAGTATCATGGTGAACAAGAAAGAGCAATCAGTCAGTCCCAGACCAAATAATTCATCTTTTAAAACTAGCAAGCAGAAATGTATATATTGGGCATATAATTCCGCCTCTATCATATGCCCAAAGTCATCCTGATAAACGGAATTTGAAAAAGGGGATAGAGCTATAAGTTACTAAAAACAGCCTTTGCTATGTGTGACTAAATAGTGCAAACTATTACTTGAATTTAGGTATTCAAGTACATGATAAATACATGATAAGTGTAATATCATGAAACCTTAAACTTTGCAATTAACTTAAAAGAGCTCACTGAATTAAATAGCTGAACAAGAGATGAGCTCCCCGTTTCGTGGTTAAGATATTGAACTTGGAAGATGCAGATTCAAGTCCTTGATAAATCATGGAGTTCACTGACTAACATTGAATCAGTCATGCATTCTCTGCCTATCCTCTCAAGGAGCTAAAAGTACACAAGATCCATCATGTATGCCATATTACCCTTCCAGAGGACATGATAATTCAGTTGAGAATGATTCTTGGTAATTTCATAGACATAGCCAGTATTCTTGGCAAGAAGGTGGAAGGGAGATTTGCCGGTACTTTCTTCAGAGACTTTATTTTCCTGATCTAGGCCAAATTCTTGAGATTTTTCTTATGGTCTCCCTTTGGAGTCCTAATCAGGTCTGAACCTGCTTAGTTTTAAAATCAGCTGGGGCCTATCTAACTAAGCCCAGAATTGTGTGCACTGGCTCAAAAAAAGGTTGTCTAATCCTGCTGTAGATAATTATACAATTTTATTATTTTTATATGTTTTGTGTGACTAACAGATTTTAAAATATTTTTAAAAGGGATATGTTCCCGTATTTGTTTGATTAGAAGCAGGAGGAATACGTTTATTAAAAATCCAACTTAAATAGGTCTTGTTAGCTGGGAATATCTTACTTCCAGAAAAGCCAGATACATTCCATTCAAGAATAATGCTGTTGTGCTAGTTGAAGCAGAGCTTCCTTACTAAGTGAGCATTTATTGAGCATTTATTAAAGGATGTAATGGACTTCTGATTTGCGTTGTTGTTAGCAGAGGGGGAAAGGGGTAGTCCCCTTTTTTTGGCATTATCAGTATTCTTGGAAAATCATACAAATTCTGATATTACCATAGTAACATTGGTACAGTAGTTATATCATGTCTATTACTGCTGTCAATATATCAAATTACGTAGTTTATTCATAATGTACTTATGTACATTATGTACATTATGTACTTAATTTATGTCTCTTAAATTAAGAGATTGCTTGACTCTTGAATCAAGCTTGCCCCTTCTCAACTTGGTGCCTTTTTTAAGTATTGCAAATGAAACTACCAGCCAGTTTGAATTTAGTCTTTTATATGTGAAAGTGGCATTTTTAGAATTTCTGGGTAGATGTGGTGTGCTGTTTCTCTTATCATTGTGGGTTGATATTGCCCTGCCCCTCACTATTTTTTTTTTTTTTTAAATCCTTTCTGGCCTGTGTAATCAATTTAGTGGCATTTATTTTATATCTTGAAGTGAAATACAAGTAAACTCACATGCATTAATTAAATGTATCCATAGTGATCTCAATGGTAACTAGATACAATGCATGAAAAACACGCCAAACACAATGTGCAGTTGTGACATGTTGATTTTAGTATTCATTGGCTTCTAATACAATTTAGTCTAACTAAATATAGAGTGGTTTGGGCAATCTGTTTTTCCAAATATTTTTTGAAATATGTTTCCCACTAACTTCAGCCATCATGCAGAGGATATGTATGTAGGGACATTTATAGTTTTTCAACATCATCCGGGCCATACATATATCACTCTTGCATTACAGATATATTTATCCAGATCTTGCTCAACATTTCCTTGGAATTAAACCCCAGTGATTTTAATGGGATTTGAAGGGCTATTAAGGCTTTAAAGGAAGCTGAACTGCCTTCAGCTATAAACATATTTTGCGACTGCTCATAATATTCATGAATGAAGACAAATATACGTGTACCAGGATAATGTTGCAGGATCCAATGTGGCCAGAAGCTTTGTCTTCTGAGATTTCAGACTTGTGCTGGAGCCCATCTTCAGGGAACTTCTACTCTGACATACAGTAGTCTGCCAGAGAGAAGTTTTTTTTGTTTTTTTTTTTAAATTTGATTTATATGCCGCCCTTCTCCGGAGACTCAGGGCGGCTTACAATGCGCTAAGCAATAAGTTCCCTCAGGATGGGCTCCAGCACGAGTCTGAAAGCTCAGAAGGCAAAACCTCTGGTCCCAGTGACCAACCCAAATTGGATCCTGCTCACAATATTATTTCATAATTTTAAATAACTTTAGATAGGGAGAAATAAAAATAAATCTACATAATCTTGTGGACATAATCGTACAGCTTATGAAATATATTATCAGGCAGTTGAGTAAAACCTAAGTTTTTTGGGTTTAGCGACACTAAATAAAATTTGCCATATATTCATTAAAATAGATAGATATAAAGGTTAAGACTGGATCAGATCAGTGGTGGGTTCCTCCCGGTTTGGCCCGGTTCCACCGAGCCAGTAGTGGTGACGATATGACATCACCGAACTGGTTCTGACCCCTGCCGCCCCCCCGCATTATTCTTACCTTTTATTTGGCCCCACCCCCAATCTATTGTTGCCTCCTGAGTCACAGTTGGTCGGCTAGAAGGAAATAAACTGTTTAAACTCTTGCTGCGGGGCTTCAAAGGGCCGCCCTACAGCTGATCAGTGTTAAAAGACAGTCTGGTGGTAGACCGGTGCCTCCAAAAATAAATGGGTAGACCAGTGCCTCCAAAAACAAATGAGTAGACCGGTGCTGCAAAAATAAATGGGTAGACCAGTGCCTCCAAAAACAAATGAGTAAACCGGTACAGCTCTGCAAGCAGTTAAAAGCCTGGTAGACCAGTACCTCTGCTAAATCCTAAAGAATTGTCACATGACCATCAAGCCACACCCACAGAACCTGTAGTAAAAAAATTTAGAACCCACCCCTGGATCAGATGTATTATGTTGACCATGGTCTGAAAAAATACTGCAATTCTATACCAAATATATAAGCCATGCTTAATGGAGCACCTGACATTTAATAACCAGTCTTTCTAGTATTACAAAGTTGCATGGATGGCAGTAGAGAAAACATTATCAAGATTTTGGTAATAATTTGGCCATCATCTTGATGGATGATTAACTTTGCAAGTTATTTTTCTGTGTTTCATTTGGACTTTACCTTTAAAACAGCTTGCTGTATTTCTTTCAGCACATTTTATCATGTAGCATTTAATCATATCACCCTTGATTCTGTTACATGGACAGAATAAGTTTTGCCATTTTGCAACTGGACTATTATCTTCATGGATGAAATCTTGATTGCATTGTGTTATTTTATGGTTCTTTTTTATGTTACAATATTTTACATACACCTGATACCAATAATGACAACTTGATGGCATCTAACACACTCTTTTATTCCCTCTTCCATTTTATAGAGCTGATCGAAAATGTTTACATACCTTCTGTCAGCAGAAGAGAATTTAAGAACTTGAAATCCAGTGAAGTTTCCGAGTGCAGGCCTCAGATTGCTAGCATTACTGTGTCCAAGAAGCGGAACTGGTTACATCAAAGTTCTCTGAGAGTACCTAGTTTGGAAAAAGGAAACTCTTACAAGAAATTTTCAGGAGAAAATTACCAGGTACTGAAATCTTCCAGTCCTTTCTTTGAGCCAAAAATGCCTCAGACTTTTTCCAAATTTCTAGGACAGGAAAGCCCTAGAGGAAGAGTCAGTTCTGCACATGCTGCTGAGAATGGAACAAGATCTTTGGCACTACAAAACTGTACTTTAGATTTTGGTGAAGATAATGATGCAGATGATGAAGGAGAAATATGGTACAATCCTATCCCTGAAGATGATGAGCCTGAGTTCCCTTGTTTTCTAAGTGGCCATAATAATCATAATCAAGCCTTGAATTGCAAAATAGCACCTGGGAATGATTTAATCAAAGTCATAGGGCATAATGAAGGCCTTCCTCAATTTTTAGACTGTTCTGGAAATGGTCAGCCTAGAGAAACAAGTCAAACAGATAATGTGCATTCAGTGGAATATTTGCAAACACAAAAGCCAAAGCCTGTATGCAATACTCTGACTGGGTCTGCAGTGGATGAAGGTCTTCTTAAATCTACTACGGGAGGTAAGAGCAATGTAAACATTTAACTTACAGTATAATTATGTCTGCCCCCCATAGCCATGTGATACAGTCATGTTTTAGAGGTGAAAATTCAAATCTTAAGTTGGAACTAATTATGCACAACCTACTTAGATGTGTAGATGTCTGTCTTGTATGAATATCATGTTCAGCTGAAATAATTATTTGTACGTGTAATATATGCATTTCCTAATAATGTGTGTGCATCAGAATACATTTTTATAAAATTTCACCATATCTCAGGCCTGTGGGAAATCTCAATGTTCTACTCTGTCAGAGTGGGCAGGAAGCATATCTGAATCACAGCTGGTTTCTTCAGCTTCATATTAACTCATGGCTGCATTTTTGTAATTTAAATCACACATGTGTTAAGGTGGCAAATTATTGTTTAGCATGCTAAGATTATAAAAATCATTAAACTGTAACTATTCTATAGAGATGGAAAGAAATTTATTTGGCGCCATTACTGTGAAATGGTACATTGAAAATCAATAACTGCTACAAAAATGTTGATTTTTTTTTTCTCCTGAGGAAAGATAAATTACATTTGTAAAATAGGCAATCCTCGCTCAGGAATCTCAATTCCATCGCTAAATGATGTGGTGCAAGACGCAATTTGATATGGCTTCATTGACTTACAGCAGGGGTGTCAAACTTGTGTTGTCATGTCACGTGATGTATCGTGACTTTTTTCCCCTTTGCTAAATCGGGAATGGGTGTGGCCAGTGCGTGACGCATTTGGGGCACGGGCTGCAAGTTTGATACCCCTGACTTACAGGAACAGTTCCAGCAGTCTTGTTTGCTGTTGTTAGGTGAATCCTGCAGGTCACAGCCTCCCATGGTTATGTGATCACTACATGTGACTTGTCAGCATCCCCATTAATTTACTTGTCAGAAGCCAGCAATGCAAATTGAAAATGGCAATCATGTTCCCGTAGGAGGCTGTGGTGCCATAATTGCAAACTAATTGCCTGAATCGTGCTGATGTGATGGTGGGGATGCTGTGACAATCACAACTAAAAGGACATGTTGTAGTTCCCTTTTGTTCAACACCATGATAACTTTGAATAGTTACTAAGTGTACATTAAGCAAGGACTTCCTGTATTTGTTGTACAGGTAACTTGGAGTATTGACAGCTTCCCTCCAATATGAATCCTTCTCATTGTAAAATAACTCTTTCAGTAAATTGTTTAAATCAGTTATAACTTTGGTAAGATTGAACCAATTTTGGGGAGCATCATATTTCTGTTTTCTCTAAATGTTTATGTCCTCTCTTTGTAGTCACATAGCAATCTGTGAGTTTTATCTTTACGTGTCTCCTCTTATACAAAGGCAAAACTAATCCTCAAATTATGTTTTTATATCCATTGGTTTGGAAAGAAATGTCTTTTAATTAATCTTTGAATTCCATTAGAGGAGATACTACGGTATATCTTTAATTATTTATACTTTGAAACAACAAAGGTTATAATATCAATAACTCAATGTTATTAGCCAAAATATATATTTCTTCATAAGCTGGAAACAAGTATGTCCAGTGGATGTGTGTGTGTGTGTGTGTGTGTGTTTTCGCAGAAGTAGTCTCATGAAGTTCAGGACGACTTTACTCCTAATGTATGAACATAGCACTGTAGTCTCGGGATTGGTGTGTTTGAGGGAAGATGATTAACATTAAGGGGGTTTACATTTGCTGTAGCAGCACTGTTAACGTTTCTTAGCATGTTTTTATTTTTATGGCTTTTGCTAAAATGTTAATAATGGCTTTTATTTACTAACTGGAATATTGTAAACTGTATGCATTTATATTACAGTGTAATTCAGTGATTTTTTTTCTCCACTTGTTTTAGTTGACGTTTGTAACACATCCCATCCCATCATTTACTAGAGAAAATTAAATAGGAACTTTCATATCATGGGCACAAAAGTCGTTGCTTTATTGAATGTTTTGATTATGAGACTATAATGAACTCTGGTGACATTGTTTGTGAGTTTATCCTACACTGTCTCTTTATGGAGTTAATGAAGCTATTTTAAATGCCTCTTGAGGTTTTGTGTGAGTTGAATGAGGATCTCTTTGAACGAAATAATTGATGAGGAGACTTCCTACTGTTAAGTAATTGGCTTTATTGCTAAGTAATACTTAACATTTCATTTAATCCTGTTAAGGTATCTACTAGTTTAATTTTAGTTAAACTGAAAATGACAGTTTATTTAGGCAAAATGACTACATAAAGGACAGTAGGCCAAACAAGCTCACATTATATGAATGTGAAGCAGTAAGCAAAATATGTTAGGCTTATATGGATTGATGGTGGAACTAATAATTCTTTTACTACAGTGATATTTTAAACACAGTAAGTATCTTTCTAATATCTACACTTTATGTGCTGGGTTACATTACAACACTAATGAAAAAGTAACTTTAAAAATAACTCCTTTTTTAACTTTATGATTAATCCTCACATTTGCCACCTTTGCAAGCCTTTAATGCCAAGGAAAGCTGAAGTTAGCTCATAAGCATATTTGTGGTTTTACTTAGTGAGCACTTTGCTATTAACAGAGTTGTTGGTCCCAATTGTAGCTGCTAAATGAGGACTACCTGTATTGTAGAACAATTAATGCTTTCATCATGCTTTATCCACTTATACTATTCTGCTGTTTCTTAATCTTAGCATGTTTAAGATTTGTGGATTTCAACTTCCAGAATTCTGGGAGTTGAAGTCCACACATCTGTTCTGACCTTGGCTTCTTGAGAAAGCATAAATCACAAGTTTAGTCCCAAAAAACCTCTTTTATTGAGACGGCGGTGAATTATGGTCATTCACAGCCCGTAATGATTCACAGTCTGTGAAGATTCTGACAGATGTCGGCTCGAGTTGACACAGTCTTTCAGGGTAATGTTGATAAGCACCCACCTTTATCTTCCTTGAAATGCTGCCAGAGATCTAATTGCCAATTAGTTTTGCAAGGCCAAACGGAGCACAGAGTGAAACGGACTTCTCAGAGCTTGAATTGACTGTATGAACTAATTGCTTCCTGCAAAGGCTCACATCTGTTTGTTCCTCTTTTATGTCTTATGGGAGGGGCCAATCATCTCCAAGCCTTACTCCTGAGTCACCCTTTTTTTTCTTAATTGTTCTTGCCTTCTGGCAGTACTGCGCACGCGCACACTGGGAACAGGCTCATATTGTTCTTCTGCCTCGCTGATGTCAGATTCCGGAAGCAGCACATAACTACCAGATGATCCTGGCCCCGTCTGCCTCCAACGCAGAGCCCTCGTCCGAGCCTTCCCCAGATTCCAGGACTGGCCCATGTTCCTCCCCAACCTCTCCACTATCCAAATCTGCTGCCAGCTCTGCTGGCTGCTGGTGGGCCACAACAACATCTTAAAGTTGCAAAGGTTGAGAAACACTGCTCTATTTCACTCCCCCCTCTCTCTTGCCCTATGCCACATCCACAGCCAATTATAATAATGACAAAATAACAAAAGCTGCAGTGGTGACACCATGATGCAAGCTCTGCCCTTTTTTTTTAACTTACATTGAAGCATTACACAGCAAGTCCCAAAGAGGCATATATGCTTTGCAATGCAACAATGCATCTTTCATCACTTGCTCCCTCTTATCCCTTCTTTGCTGTTGCCGATTCTGCACCCACCATCCTCACCTCCAAGTTCTGGATACTAAGGTGACCTACTGACTCCTCTTTAAAAAAAAAAAAAGTACTGTAGTTTTCTCTTTCAATGCTGTGACTTTGTGCGGATATCTAAATGTGGCACCAGAACTGTTCCTCTTAAAGGATTACTAAAAACAGTCTTAAATTACATGGCACAGAAGTGCTTCAGGAATTGCATTCCCAGAAGATGGCACGGTGCTTAAATTGCTACAGACTCCTAAATCCCTTAGAATGTATTGTTTTATTTTCTCTAGTGCTGTTGTTTCTCACTCCCCTTGCCATTAGAAAGCATTCTAGAACGAAGGAGCAGCTTTTTCTTATCAAGAAGTATAAACACTGCTTGTCCTAGAAAAAAAACAAAACACCCCTTTTTTAGGCAATTGCAAGCTTCTCGAAATAAGTTTGTCTTCTCATTGCAATTGCTATTTCCATCTTAACTATAGTGCTTGATGGTGAGGATTTTGGAGACAATGTTTACAGAACTATGCCTAGCTCCTTTTTCAGGCTTTCTTTAGAAAATTAGAGCAGGTCCTATTTTAAGTTAAGGGAGAGACTGAAATGAACTAGAGTCTGTATTGAACTTCCTGAAGTCTAGTAGTGCTTGTAATTTTTATCATACTGTTTCCTTTTTTTGCACAAGATTTGTGGTCCTTTTGAATTTTTAAGGCTTTCGAAGTGGGTGTAGAAACGTACAGTTTTTGGCCTTCTGAAATAATGGGAAAACATTTTTAGCCACAGTACCTCACTGGAAACTTGTCAGGAGATGCTTGATCACAGTGAGAAGTGCCAGAGCTCATAACTATTACATATAAGCGGATGCACATGGTGATAGACAACTAGTATTCACATGTGATTTAGGTCATTGGAGGTGAAGGCTCCTGATGGAGCTGACTTTGTTTATAGGAAAAGCAAAAAAAGCATTGTTCCAGTTACCTCTTGAAATTAAGACTGTGCAGTATTTTGGATAATGGTAAAAGGCTATGAGGTACTTTGTGTGTGAGGCCTAGCACCTGTCTGCACATCCTTAGCAGTGGGGGCTTTGCCTGGAATTGTATGACTTGTCCTCTGTAAACTGCAGTACAATTCTTTAATGAGGATTTTATAAAATAATTCTTACATGTACATACACACTTACACAGGCAAAGAAGCCATACACTGCTTTAGAAATAATTTGGAAGAGGTACTTCAAGTGTTTGCACAATTGCATGTGCACTGCGGGATGTTTCAGGGGAAAATGTGGCTACTTAAAGAGTTGAAGACTGATCTTTTTGGAACAAATTTTGAAGTATTGCAGATAGATAGATAAATAGACAGGCGGAGAGAAGATATCACTTATATAGACTTCTCATTTAGGATCAATATATTGGACAGATTGCTTGGTTTGCTTGGTAATAAAGTTATGACAAATGACCTTTCATAATTCTTTTTTTTCTCAGAGAAATTTCAACTGTGAAATGGTGGGGTATAAATTTAAATAAATAAATATATGCTAATACAAATGTGAATTATTACAAAAAGCAGTGCTAATAATATTGAACCATTTCATAATTCTACATTGTGTGATTAATGTAAACAATGATCAGTGTTAATCATAAACACTTTTAGCGTTTAGAAGCTGTGGATTCAAATCCTTAACAAAATAGGTCTTCTATTGAATAAGTGAAATCATAGTGTGTACAGAAGGAACAGGCACACCTGTTGCATAATTTTAATATACTGTTTATGCTGAAAGGAGATTTTCTGTCTTGATCAATAATGACCATATGATTTCCTTTTAGTAGGATTTAAAAATAATTTGTAAAATGGAATACAGAGTTAGAAATACCAACGGCTGACAGCCTATAGTGACAATATCACTTACAATTATTGGTCGGTAAAATAGTTGTAGTAGATTTCAAAAAGTTGTCTGTTCCCTCTGTGTATGTAATATATGGTTGCTATAATTCCAAGAAAGGTTCCAGTGTCCTTTTGACATTATTTATCATTCCAACAATGAAAGAATAGGAGGACTTTATGAAGCCACCGGAAGTTTGAGATAAAATGTCAGGAATGTTAGATTGACTTCTCAATTTTTTTATATTTTGGCTTGCTTTTCTAAGCCTTTGCCAGAGGCTTCTGACAGAGAAAGATTAATGTGAATTAATTAAAACTTTGCCCTGATTACTATGGAATGCCTCAGTACAACCCACTAGTGAGACTGTGTGGTGATTTGCAGTACAAGAGAGGCCTTTGTCCAGATTTATCAAATACCACATTTTTTATGAGCTGTTGCCAGAAAAACACAGCGGGAGTGCTAGAAATAGTCTATACCATGTAAGGAAATAGCCTCAATAGAAGCAAAGCAGTTGAGCGAAACAAGAAATTTCACTGAGGCTCTGGAAAACATATTTTGTGCAGTAGAATTGTCTTCATCGTTTTTGAAAAACAAGCCTAGTTGTTAATTTCCAGCAAAAAAAGAGAGTGATTTAGCTCCCGTTTAAGAAAATAACAGGGGTTCTGTAGAATGTGGATAAGGTGCTATTTATTTGAATCTCAGTTTCTAATTGGGTGGGCTGCAGAAAAAAATGGAATTATTTGTGTGATGCTATAAAAACACAATGCCTACTTGGTCACTAAGCAACAGGGCTCCTGCTATCAGCAGCGCCCTAAATTTTAATTAATTAATTAATTAATACTTATGTTGCCCAGCTCTCCTATAAGGCGGTTCCAGACCATAATATAGGTATCTAAGCAGGGTGGATAAAAATCAATGATTTTTTTAAAAAAATCAAAAAAATTGGATTTTTTTGATTTAAATCGTAGTTTTTTGATTTTTATTGAATTTATTTTAATAAAAATCTTTTGGGGTAAAAATCTATCTTAAGATAGTTTTCTATTTAAGATACATAAATAATTTAGTTTATTCAGCATAAAATGGAGCTTAGTTATGTAGCATGAGGCTGTATATTCTGCAACACTGGGACTATCGGTGAGTCAACAGCGGGTCAAAGGAGTAGCAGAGATGACAGTTGCTCTTTAAAAATTATGATTTAAATCGAGTTGATTTAAATCAAGTCTTTTTACTAGTGATTTAAATCATGATTTAAATTGTGATTTAAATCAACTCGATTTAAATCAAATCCACCCTGTATCTAAGTAGTGATAGGGGGATTTGATAAGTGTTTTCATAGGCATTTGCTTATATTTTGTTTGGTTATTTTTCCTTTGAATGTCTAAGCTAGGCAGTCAGACCTGGTTGGTTGTTGAGTGGGAAAGAAAAATTGAATTAAGAGTCAGATGAACATTTGCTTTACTTTTTAGTTAGGATCCAGATTGTTGCGAGCAATATGCTGACTCTGTAAACTACTTAGAGAGGGCTGTAAAGCACTGTGAAGTGGTATATAAGTCTAAGTGCTATTGCTATTGCTAAATGTACTCTCTGTAGTTTTTATGGTACAAATGAGCAAATGATGGTCTGGGGGTCCATTCTGGTCCCTTTGATGGATAGATTAGGTTAGGATCTATGCTTTCCAGATATTATTTCTTGTCCCTTTGAGTATATTTTAGAATGCTAGAGGAAAAACTATAAATAATAAATTCTTCTTATTGTCTCCCAATTCTACAGTAAAAATGGCCTTGTATTTTGTGGTGTAAGGTAAAATGTGTCCATAAAGTTTTCCAAAATCCCTTTATTGCTGAAACACATACATAAAAATACCAACTTGAAAAACTGCATGGCTGAAAGTCAGCATTTCCCCCCTCCATTTTCTGGCAGTGTGATCTAGTGATGTCCTGTTGTCCCACAAGGGATACTAGAGGATAAGGCCCCTCCACCCAATTATTAAATTACAGTTGGTAGTTTGTACTGAACATCTGTTTTTAACTCTTAGATTATGAAATTGCTGAATTTGGAACACAGTAGAGTTATTGTATATTTGTAATAGAATTAGACATAGACTTATTAGACAGTAAACAGGGTTATGATGTAAAAATGTTTAGGTGAGCCTTCCACTTCCGTGAGGTAAGAGCCATGAACAAAAGTTCATGGGGGCTCATTTTTCACTATGAAAAACTATGGTGTATAAATTGCTATTATTGTATGCTGTATTCCAGTTTTGCATTTTTATTTATTTCCTTCTATCAAACTGGGTTTTTTTATAAAATACTTTGACTATGCAAATAACTAATTAGGAATCCAATATTCAGATTTCTTTGATAAATGTAACAAATGTGTAAGAAAGGATTTATTAGTGGATTCAAAGAAATAAGTCATATTGGAAATTTGTGGAGAATTGATTCCAAATATATCATAAATTCACTCTGGCATAATGAGAAGAGGCATACATGTTTGTTTGTAAAGGGGAAAAAAAAACATAAAAAAGAAAATTACTGTGAAATAGACCACCTTTGAAATGCACAGGAGCCCTAAAGCAAAGTAATTCCATTTGTTTTCCAATATTTTCCAGAACTTGAGAGTGTAGGCAAAACATACCATAGAATTTTATTTTCAGAAGAGATGCTGAAACAAAACAGTTGCATCCAGCTTCTCCTTTGAAAGACATCAATTTAACATATACAGGACAACAAAACAAGCAGAATGGTCCATCAGCAGAGGGATGGGTCAGTGATTCCTAGGTAGCATCTGCCTCCTTTGTCTCTTTTAAGGAAAGAGGGACACATGTTTTTCGTTATTCTGGCACATAGGAAGGGGTATTCATGGGAATAATGTAGATCAGGGTCCCCAATCCCCAGGCCACAGCCCGCTATAGGGACTTGAGCCCTTCCTAACCGAGCCATGGAAGTGGTGGGCAAGCACATGCATCCCTACTTGTGTGAGTAATGGGCAAGCATTTGTGCATTCCTGCCACTTGCACAATGGAGCTGTGTGTGCATGCCTTCCACACGTGTGGAACCCTCTCTCCCTCTCTCCCCATCCCCCATTCCGCAAAGTCAGAAAGGTTGGGGAACTCTGATGTAGATGGTGCTCAGCATCTTTCTAAATAGACATTTTTCAGATCACGACAAAGAAGTAGTTTTTTTTATTTCCAAGTATTTTTTTTATCATCTCTTTCTTTTCTTTTTTCAAAGGTCCTGGAATCATGTCTGCAAACAAGGCAGAGACAGGAACAGCAGAATATTCTCCTCCAAGCCCAAACCCATTGAAAAAAGGTGGCTCGATAAACTGGCCTTTCCCTGATAAAATAAAATCCCCAAGAACAGTCAGGAAACTTTCCATGAAGATGAAAAAATTGCCTGAACTCAGCAGGAAGCTCAGTGTCAAAGGAAATTCAAGCCATAATAGCTCAGACAATTCTTTGTTGCTTAAAAATAATTGCCAGGAGGTAGGCCATGCACCGTTAGCTTCTTCTGGAAATGTAACAGCAGCTGCTAGCAGGAATGTTATAAGCCGGTATCATCTTGATAGCAGTGTATCCTCTCAACACAGCTATAAAAAGAAAAACAGGGGAACTTCCAAATCCTCCAGCAAAGGGGGCTACCTCAGCGATGGAGACTCTCCCGAGCTTATAGCAAAATCAGGGAAATATGCAGCTGAAAGCAGGGTTGGGAAAGGAAAGGAAGTATTTGCAGGTAACATGGGTAATAAATCAGAAATAGACATTGATGCTTTTCGACACTACACTTTTGCTGACCAACCCAAATGTTCCCAGTACATATCTGGACTCATGAGCATTCACTTTTATGGTGCAGAGGATCTGAAACCACCACGGATGGACTCCAAAGATGTCTTCTGTGCAATTCAGGTAGATTCAGTCAATAAAGCAAGGACTGCTTTGCTGACTTGCAGAACAACATTTTTGGACATGGATCACACTTTCAACATAGAGATCGAAAATGCTCAGCATCTAAAATTAGTGGTTTTCAGCTGGGAGCCCATGCCAAGGAAAAACCGGGTCTGCTGCCATGGTACGATAGTTCTTCCTGCTCTTTTTCGTGTGACGAAGACTCATCAGTTGGCAGTAAAACTGGAGCCTAGAGGTCTTATCTACGTCAAGTTAACTCTTCTGGAACAGTGGGAGAATTCTCTTTGTGGGACAGATGGAGAACGAGAACCGATACTCTTTGGAGTTGATGCTCGGAAAGTTGTTGAGAAGGAAAATGAAGGTTTGATGGTCCCTCTCTTGATGAAAAAGTGCATTACGGAGATTGAAAAAAGAGGTTGCCAGGTAAAGAAGTAAAGTTTTATAAATATAATGTTATTTAAATCCAAAGAATACAACATCCTGTGGTCCCTCATCATCTTCATTTGAATAGCTGGCCATTATTAATGTCTTCTTAACATTAGGGTACAAGATGAGATGAATAAAAAGAATCATCATCCTTTGTGTAGCCTACAATCCTTTTGTATTTGCCAGATTTTGGGTGACTAGTCTTTAGGACTTCCAAACCACTAGTGTAATGATGGCATTTGTATTTATAAGGGCAGATAAATCTCAAACAGGATGCAAGATTCAGAAATTGTAATGAAACAAAACTGAGGGTAGAAGGGTTTTTTTTGTAAGGTAACTTTATATGTTGTTTCTGTGGGAATTGTAGGCATTGCCGTACAGATGTTGCTACTATCACAGCAGACTGTTGCATCATTCAGTAATTGCATCATTCAGTAATAATAGGACTATTTACTTTCACTTCAGGCAACCTATATCTGATTTTTTCCCCCCATCTCAAAAGCTCAGAAATCATGAAACTGATTAGAATGATTTCTTCCTACCTTCCTGAAATTCATGGGAAGCACGCTGATTTTAAAAAGATGTCTAACGTGGCTATAAAAAATGCTTGGCATGAGCTGTAGGGATTTTTTTTTTTTCCAGTATAACAGGCAGCCTGTCAGCCACCATGCCTTTAGAATCACAGTGTGGATGTTTGACAGGATTAAGAAGATGCTCCAAGGCAGCCTTAGATGTAAAGATACATGCATAATATGCACATTTGGGGTTAAAAATATAAGTGGGTAACAGAGTCCAAGAATGCCCACAAATCTCACCCCAGTATTCAGCAAATGGGTATCACTGGAAATCTTTACGCATTGAGAGCAAGATTTCCTATTATGGGAAAGCTAAAGTGCCTTGTATTTAAGCCTTTTAGATCTCAGGTTTTAAATGCAGCCAGATTTTAAATGTGCTTTACCTTGTCTCTTTGCTTATAAGAATTTAGTGCTTTTAAAGATCATTAATCTAGAAATTTCCAAAAGGGGATTGAAAAAATAACAAAAGACTAGCAAATATATTATGGTTGAAGCTTTTGTGGACTGGGTTCTGGAGAAAAATGTAATAAATGAGTTGGTATTTAAAGTACCATAATACTCTCTGGTATTTAATGTTGATGACTAAAGCTTTTTTATACTGTTTTAGTTTATATTATAAAAGAATTGTTTACCCAACTTCTCAATTTGTTAGAGAAAATGTAAGCCTGAATTTCAAGTAGCATGTAAACATTTAGTTCTGGTTTAGACTCTATCACTGTAACAGGATGTATTTATATGAGAAATATTTGGATTTAAAAAAATAATACCAGATATATTCAGTGTCTCACTCTCTTACATTGCATTGTGCAGGAACAATGCTTCATCCTACAACTGAAATAACATTCATTTGTAGTAATGATGCATCTAAGAGTGTTACGCAGTTTGTACATGAGGTACTATTGTTATTAGTTAAATTTCTATTCCATTAAAAATGCTAAGATAATACAACTTTCTTGCTATAACTTATTTTCCCTTTTATGTTAGCTGAAATGGAGTTGCCTTTAGAAGAGATTACTTCTACTTTTGCTAGGAAAGAAGCAATTTTTCATGATATGATTTAGATTTTTTTTTTAAAAAAATTGTGCTAAAACTATATTGGTCCATTCCTTAAAGCATAGAAATTCCTAATCAGAAGGGTTCCTAATCAGAAGAGCCTTTCAAATAAGTTTTACTGCTAGCAAATTGCCTGCGCATGATTTCTTGAGACTCGTGATATTTGGCTGTACCATGCAGAAGAAAAATATTTGCTTCTATAAAAACAGACAAAACATCTTTGTAAGTCCGAATTGCAATAAATGCATCACCATAATTTAATTAATATAAATAATTTATTATTAAAAAGACAATGGTACAGTGTTCCCTTTTCCATTTTCTTCCTGTAAGAATAACTACATCAGGGATAAAAACTGGGTTTGCAGTTTTTGGTAACCAATAGTTTATTTAACATAAGTTTATTAAACAACCCAGAAATATCTAGGTTCCACAACACCCTAACCTATAAATGATATTTTACAACTCACATTCAGTGCAGACAACACTTTAAATAGGAAATAGTCCATCCTCATTTCAGGATGCAGGCTACTGTATTTCAAAGTGAGTGTCTATGGAGATTCATCAATCATCAAGGTCATGGTTGTTACAAGGGTGCTTTTCAAAAGGCAACTAGGCTTTCTTGGGATTTTTTCCTTAAAACGTTTTGCTTCTCATTCAAGAAGTTTCTTGAGTTCTGAAGAACTGAACTGAGAACTGAAGAAACAAAAAACCAACAAAGTCCAGTTACTTTTTGAAAAGCACCTTTGATTCAAAATGAGTGTTTATCTCTGAGAAAGCCCCTCTATGACTTCTTGGATAAGGATTCTAATAGAGTAGGCAGGTAGACTCTACTAGGTTAGACAATACTGAAGGTAAGATGGACCTAACCCATCAGTTTGATTACTAGGACTGAATGTAAAGTCCCTGGGAAATCTTATAAACTGTAAGCCTTTGTGGCTGAATACGGATGGACTTTGGTCTCCCCTGTTCTATTATACCACTCTATTCATTGCAATTAAAGTTGATATACTTCTGATAAAGAATTTATTTCATACAGGGTTTCCTTCTAGTCCTTTTAGAGTCTTTTATGGACATCTTGGTATATTGACTACACTATATTTAAAATTGCATTTCTGTTGAATATTTGTTTTATATTTTAGTACTCATTAAACTAAATGAGGTTGCCCTGTAAGGTTTATATTTTATTTCTAGGTTGTAGGGCTCTACCGTTTATGTGGGTCAGCAGCTGTGAAGAAAGAGCTCCGAGAGGCATTTGAGAAGGATAGCAAAGCAGTTACTCTATGTGAAACTCAGTACCCAGATATAAATGTGATAACAGGTAATAAATTTGCTTTTTATAGAAAGATAAATAAATGCTCAGGATGTCATAGGGGTTTTATTGTGCAGTGTATCGTATAAGTAAATATTAAAAGAAGTTTTTAATAAGTAATGTCCTAAAACTGAGCCTTTTGAACTAACATCTGCCCACTGTGGAAACCTTGTCACTAAATGCAAGGTAAGAGGTTTTTTTTAATTTTGTAAGAACAATATTGTCAGTTTTGAGATTCAGTTTTGTTCTGGATTCTGGAATAATTTTGGTTCCAGATGAATGCTGGCTGGAGAATTCTGGAAGTTGAAGTCCACATCTCTTAAAGTTGCCAAGGTTGAGAAATGCTGTTCTAGATTCTAGTCAATATGTATGTATGGAACCTAAGCTTGGGCACATTGAAGAAAGAATGGCAAGTGCTTTGTTGTATCTACTGTCAGTATATTCACAGCTTAATAAAAAAACCTGTGTAACAATTATTATTTAATGGCTACCACATCTTGATATAAAGGCTAAATCAGCTATAAAGGTCTTATGAAACCTATTTTTAATGAAGAAAGTGGGGATTTGTTCATATTTCAATGAAAGCAGAAATTCTAAAGGCATGAACCAGTGAGCCATCTGATTTCAATTGCCAACCCCAGTACACTGATAGGAAACTTGTCTGAACATAGCTTGTTTATGATATATGCTGTGGATCCCGTCAATCAAAGAATTTCGGCTGGCAGGATCCAGGAGAAAAGTCTTCTCTGCTGTGGCCCCAGCCCTTTGGAGCATCTAGCCCCCTAGATTGGCATTCACCCTCCTGATTTTCCATAAGAGCCTGGAGACCTAGCTCTGTTGGTTGGCTTGGAGCCTTGATGGGGGAATTTCACACTGGAGTTGGTTGATCAACTAATAGCAGTCTCCATCTCACTCCCTATATATTCTCTCTTCTTCCCCATCTTTAGTTATACCTTGTATTTTATTGTAATTTTGATGTGATTTTATATATTTATGGTTTCAGTTTAATGTTGTAAGCCACCCAGACTCACCTTGTGGTGAGATGGGTGACAAACAAATTTAATATATAATATTAATACATGTATCACCTTTCCTTTCTTCACCCAAGGTTCTGACCTTGGATTGCTTAATTAGAGCGCGCATAGTAGACAAAGCTAGAGGAGAAAAGATAGTTGCTTTACGGCTACAGATGTGGCTGTTTCCTTCTCCCCATTTTCCTCTCCCCAGTTCCAAACTGAACATTGTCTGAGGGTGGCAGCTGAATATGTAGGTTTCTTCAATTATTATTATTATTATTATTTTTGGTAACTAGGAAATGATCTTGCTCTACTGAACAAATAAACCAGTGTACATTTTCTTCCATTCTCTTCTTTTGAAACCAATGCAAGCTTTGTATAAATCCAAATTATTTTTTTGGTCAAGCAGTTCTTGGAGCTATGAATCCATGGAATACTGGAAAAGCTTTTGAGAACTTCTTTTACATCTGGCAATAAGAATGGAATTTATTATTTCCTTGAGATAATTAACATAGCAGCTACGTGCACGCTGAAAAATTATACATGTTTGTATTATTTACTGTCTTATAAATCAGAAGGGTAAAATGTAAATAACCCTATTCCATATTATGCCCCAAACAGCTTTCCTGCCCTTTGCAATAGCTTTGCAGGAGTCTTTCTTAAATATTTATGTACTTGAGTCTCTGCAGTAGTATGTTTGTTTCAAAAAAGTGTACATTCTTGGTTTCTTATGCAAGAAAGTTAATTATTTCTTCATTTGAAATGTTTGGACTGTTGAATGCCATTGCTTATGCACCTCAAAAATATTCAAGGGATGTTAGAGAGTTCATAGGTGTGCAGAGGTTCAAAAGGCCTTGGTGGCAAAAACATCACAATAGAATTTTGCCTCCAGAAAGTAACGACCGAGTTTGCACAGTACAAATCAGAAGTGGGTGTCTGTGCAGGCAAGAAACAGGTGGAGAATCTGCACCCTTGAGGAGAGAACTCTACCAAAAAACATTTTTGTTACACATTCTAAAATATCACCCCCAGTATAGATGAATAGAAATATGGGATATCATCTTGAATCTTCTGGTAAACTTTCTCTGTGCTTTTACTTTGTCGCACAGTTGAATAAAATAAAATTTATAACTTCCTTTTTAAGGAAAATTCCTGTTTTACATTTCTTGGATGACAGGAAGGTCACCAAAGTGGAATTTCCTGTGGGGATGGACAGTTTCAAGCAACGTTGTTTGAAATACAGCTGTTTTGGAATTAGAAAGTCTCTTGTGTTCTTTCCTCTTCTTTTGAGCGGTCACAGCTGCTTTTATTTATATGCACAGACTCTAAATTGTAGTGTTCCCCATAAAGAGTTTTGCTGCCTTAGAACAAGCATTCCTCCTTAGAGCTAGTATCCTATTGTCATCAGTGACCAGTGACCAAGTATTGTGGGAAGGTTACACACAGCACTTCTGAGGAATAGGCCACACTCCTTGCATGTCCTTTGCCTCTGTTATTCACCTCTGAACATGATAGAGTTACATGACAGAGTTATTAGACAAGTAGATAACAACTCTTGATATATAAGCCTTTTAAAAAACCCTGTAGTCTAATGGTCATCATGTAATCTGTGAGGTTAAACACAATTATTTTTGTGCTTTGAAACCACAACATTAAAACATTTGGCCCAGTCCAGTGATATCAAAAAATCCCTGCAGTTCTCAGAAGTCAATAGTCAGTGCAGATGTTTCTATCCCTAATGCAAAATAGGATTTTGTAGCTGAGAATGGGTAAAAATAATACGTTTTCTGTCTGCCACACATAGTAAAGTGCTTATGAATATATAAGACTATTGAATTGTTTTTTTTTTAATTGGAAAAGTTTTACAATTACATTTTCTCCCCATTTCCCCCCCCAACCCTCCCTAACCTCCCTAACCCCCCTAACCCTCCCTAACCCCCCCTAACCCACCCCTCCCCCCCCCGGACTTCCACAGAATATAATCCAAATCAAAATCCCCTTTTTATAAAACTTGAACCCCTCCACCCCCAATATATTTTTTCATCTTCACAAAATTCAAATATTTCTATCTCTATGTAACACTTTCAATTAAAAGCTATCTGATACTTCCTAGTTTGATATTTGTTCTGCACATAATCTATTCACTTTTTCCACTCCCATTCGTAAGTCTCTTGTGAGCGATCTTTTAGATATGCTGAAATCTTCGCCATCTCTGCAAAGCTGGCCATCTTCAAAGTCCATTCCTCGATAGTGGGCGTAGCTTCATTTTTCCAGTATTGACCTATCAGTAATCTCGCAGCTGTTATCATGTATAATATCAACTTTGTTTCACCCAGTGTAAAACCCTTAACTATACCCAATAAAAACAATTGTGGAGAAAACTGAATTTTTTTCTTCAAAACATTCTGCATGACCCACCAAATTTTTATTCAAAAGGCCTTCACTTTCTTACAGGTCCACCAAACATGATAATATGTAGCATCTAAGCAATCACATCTCCAACATTTTGGTTGAACATTAGGGTACATGCATGACAATTTCTTAGGATCTAAATGCCATCTATAAAAGTGCCATCAGTGCAGATGTTTCTATCCCTAAAGCAAAATAGGATTTTGTAGCTGAGAATGGGTAAAAATAATACGTTTTCTGTCTGCCACACATAGTAAAGTGCTTGTAAATATATAAGACTATTGAATTGTTAATCTTGTCTTGTAAATCTTCGAAGTCCATTATTTATGATTTATTTGGGGCATATAGCAATGCCAGGGTAGTTTTTTATAATAGCAAGAATAGAAACTGGAATCAGCTGCTGAGTTTCATGTCCTAAAAATCTCAGCTTTCAAGTTTAAAAAGCTACCTCTCAATCATCATTAATCTTAGTTTCCCAAACAGCACTTGTTGAAAGCTCAGAAACTGGAATGAGTTTATTTGATTATTTATTTGTCATAACAAGTGGAATTCTGCTCTTTGCTGAGAATGCCAAGGAATCAGACTTTTCCCAACTTCAAAGCTGCAGGTGACATCGAAGTATGAATCCTGTTCTTAGAATACGTCTCTGACTTGGGCTTGTAAGGAAAAAAAATATCTCTGCTGATCTAATTAAAACGAGCACTGTTGGAGAATGGACATGTCAGTATTTACATTTGTAAAGGTTAGACTGGAGTATAATATTAGATTTTTGTTTTGTATGCTATCCTAGAAGAGTTTTGAATCAGATCGAGCAGTGGCTTCTGGATATTGAGGAAGGTCTTTCAAAGGGCACTTTATTGAAAGAGAAGCACCTTATTAAGAGATTTGCACATCTCTAATAAAGTAATAGACATTGTTCTAGTAATTTGCCAGTCTTCAAAATTCCTCTTTGGTGAAAAACCACTTATACATATTTTCCTTTTGAAGTCAAATACGACGGAAGATCGCTTTTTCAAGACTGTGTCTCAAAGGTTTCTTTTCTTGCTCTTTTGAAGAACTATTCTATTGCTCAGGAAATGCACATTTAATTATTAAACCTTGATTCAGAAATGTTTCTGTGGCTGGCACTGGCTTACAGTGAAATGCACATGTCATTCAGAATAATGTGCCTTAGCAAATTTAGCAGCTGGCTGATTTCTGATATTTCTGCATCGTGTCTGCTTCCAGCCATGTGAACTCTCTCGTAGTAAAGTATACCGTATAGTTGACAGTTCAGTGGGTTAGAAAAATGAGAAATTAATGAGGTGGATTGGAGAAGTATGCGTTTTCTCTCATTACTGCCTATATTCTGTGCCAGCAATGGTTGGAACAAGAAAAATAAAGCTGTCAGGAGATGCCAGTCCATAAAAAATAACTGCCCTCTCTTAAAGGTCTCTAAAAGGAGAACAGTGTAGGGTGAGAAGACTGACAATTTGTTTCATAGAGGAATGAAGCGAGAGAAAGTGTTTTGAAAAGGAAAGACCAGGTGACTTGATTGCAGAGCTTAGTGTGGCTCCTGTGAAAAAACATTCCAGAAGTGCCTTCTTATTGAGTACTTTTAAAAATGCATAGCAGACTCATTTCCTTTTACTTAGGTATTTTGTGCTGTCTTCAGAGCAGTTCCTTTGCTAGGAAGATAGCAAAATTCTTTCGTGATTAGTTCCCCTACTCCTAAACTTCAAAATACTGAAAGCCCAGAAGTGTTATTTACAAGTATTTGATCCTGCTGCAGATTTAAGCCTTTCCTAAACTGGGATTGTCTAAACCAGAGATGTCCAACCTTGGCAACTTTAAGACTTGTGGACTTCAACTTCCAGAATTCCCCAGCCAGCATTCTGGGAGTACAGGTCCACAGGTCTTAAAAGTTACCGAGGTTGGACACCTCCGATCTAAATTTTTGGGTTATAGTAAATCGGGAGATTATAGGAAGGTTAGTTGAAGCTATTTGCATAGCATTAGGTTGAGGGGAAGGCTGGTTTAGATTGCTGATTTGTGGACAATCTTTCCTTGAAATACTTAGACAAAAATAGCTTTTTTGACCTGCAAGATTCTGAGGGTGACACTGAAATTATGTAGTCCCAGTCACTTTCTGAATCCCCCTCTCTATGAAGAGTAGAAATGGAGCCCCTTGCTTTAATCTTAAAAATTCTGTTCTCTTAACAGAGTCTTCAATTAACACAATTCACATTACAGTTGGGTCAAAGGGTAGGATTTGTGGTAGGCACACTGAGTCTTGCAACAAGTCTTGCTTTGTTAAGAAAAATTCAGCAGTGGTATTTCTGTCATGGTTTGGGGATTAACAAGGCCTTTATTTGCCAGATACTTAAATTGGTATCTCAGCTTCCTACTTTCAGCTCTTTGTTTTCATTCTGCATTAAACGGTACAATTTATTAAGGCTCAGCTTATGTTCAGCGGCTTGCATGAACAAAATGGGAGCAAAGCAATTAAAATCTGACACTCGATTTTAAGAGTTAGGAAAATGACTGTCACAAAAATATCTGTTTTTGTGTTTTGACATTTTATAGTCCAAAATGTAGCATGGGATTGGAGAGATTCCTGAAATAAACAGGATGTTGTAGTTTAAACTGCACAAATGTAAATACTGTTGCTTTGCCTATTATGATGGTGGGCAATTTTGGAGAGGGTGAGGAGATGCAAATCAGCTTCTCAGCCTTTCAAGTAAACATAGGATGCCTTCTAGTAATAGGGAAGAAGCAATCAATTAATTCAATTTATTTTGATCAAAATCAGATTTTTTTAAAAAAGATAAAGGGACAATGTAAAAAGTAGCCTGAAGAGACCTCAGGAACTATATTGCCATAGGACCTGAAGGCATTTACCTAGTGATGTTATCAGCTACCTTTCAAAACATCTATGTGTAATAAAAGTGTTATCTGATTAAAAGAAAGTAATATAACATTTGCAGTGTGGTAGCCGACAAGAAATGAGACTGCTTCCACTATCAGTAAAAGGGAAGGTTGGGTTCAGCAGGACCAATATTAATGGTGAATCTCTGTTCCCATTCTTACTCAGATTTTTCTGAATTAAAAGGCTGTGATTCAATTCAGTTTTGAATTCTTCCCTAATTTAATCTCTTTTTTTAAAAAAATAGACAATAAAGAAAGAGGTAGACCATTTTTAAAAATCTGACTTGGTTTGTTGTGTTTCCATCAAGAACAATTTTTTAATGTTAAGGGAACAACGAAACTAATATAATTTTTTCACTTGGTAAGATCTATTCCAGGGGTCCCCGACCTGTGGACCGTAGCCCTCTACCAGGCCTATTAGTAACCTGGACTGCGTAACGATGGGCTGGCGTGTACATGCATGCACACTCACAGCCCAACTCATGTGAGCAGCTGGCTGGCCGCTCACAGCCCCACTCGCACAAATGGCGGGTATCTGCACAAACTCAAACAAATGAAGCCATGTCTGCACATGCGTGTACCTGCCTCTCGCACATATCCATCCCCTCTTCCCCCCTCTCCCTCTGCGCTGGGCCACCAACCCGAAAAGGTCTATTCTGCTTCTTTTAGCTTTTGGAGGAGGGAACCAGATATGTCTGTCTGTATGTATTTACTCAATTTGTACTTCCATCTACCTCAAATATGTAACTCAAGTGGCTAGCAATGTTTAAAAACAAGATTAAAACATAATAAATCAATATATAACATATGCTGCCGTTGAGATAAAAAAACCAACCAATCATAATTAATATAACCAAGATGTGAGCTCAACTGTGCCTCCTTTTACTTTCACCTACTTTGCTGTTTTATTTTTAACAAGTCTGCTGCTTGCTTGGGTTTGAATGCCTCAGTATAAAATTTATTTATTTATCCAATTTATATAGCCGCCCATCTCAGAAACATGTGACTTTGGGCGGCATACAACAAAAATAAAACAAATACTTAAAATTATTATCATAAATATATGCCGACCTTCAGCTAAGGGTTACACATGGCATTTGAGTGTCCTCCTCCACAGAAAACTTAATATAATGGAAATTAAATTAAGTAAATTCACATGACTATTCCCCATATAGTTAATAATGTCAAACTTCTGTTAAATTAAAATTCATAATCTGTTGCAACTGTTGGGGATCATGCGCATGATAGCAATAGCAGACTTACATACTGCTTCTTAGTGCTTTACAGTCCTCTCTAAGCGAATTACAAAGTCAGCATATTGCCCCCAACAATCTCGGTCCTCATTTTGCTGTCCTCGGAAGGATGGAAGGCTGAGTCAACCTTGAGCCGCTCAGAATCGAACTCTTGGCGTGAACAATGAGTTAGTCTGCAGTACTGCATTCTAACCACTATGCCACCACAGCTCTTGAAATCTGAGATGGACTGCATTTGATTCAAGAACTGTGGGTTATGCATTAGAGAAGCTTGCACAATTTGTAGAGAAGATAGGGTCAAGCTGATAAATTAAAAAGAAAGGTGGGCTACAAAGGAATAGCTGGGGTACTGTTCAGCTGTTGGCAGCTAGGAGAGCATTGGCAGCACAGGAGCTGGCAATGTGGGTGAGATGTAAAGGAACAATCAAAGTGGCAGTTGCGAATCTTTACTGGGGCAGTGGCATTTGGCAGCAGTGAATGCATTGAGTTTTTAAAAAATGCCACTGGGCTGCATATGGCTGGAACTAGAGTGGATGATGTATGTGTGAAGGGAAAGGAGTTAAGACATTGCAACAGAGGGGGCCAGTACCTTTGTCCTGAATGTCCAGTTCTGAAATTTTGTTTTAAATGACATGAGACACAATGAAATTAACATATGTAAATAAGAATCAATAAAGCATTTGCAACAGTTCTGAGCTGGGGACAGAACAACCTGTATTTGCTTGTGGTTGTGACTACTATGATGCATGATACTTAAAAGATTCTGATAAAATGTTGTGTATTAAAATTTAGAAGTGATGTAATGCTATGATTGCTATCCCCAATAAAGTTTACATACATACATACAGTGGTGAAATCCTACCAGTTCACACCGAATTGGGCGATAGTACTGAACCGGTAGTAAAAAACCGGTTTGTCTAACAATCAGCTCTGCTGCGCAATTTATATTTGCTAGAAATCCTGCTTTCTAGCGAATCTAAATTGTGCAGCAAAGTTGTTCCCCTCCTTGCTGTTCTACTTACCTTGTTAAGCGTCATTTTCAGCGTGAAGCGCGCATTTTGTGTGCATTTTGCTTGCATGTGCACTACATGCATTTGGTGAACCATGCGCAGTGCAAGGTTGGCATGCACCATGCATACGCAGGCAGTGAACCAGTGGCAAACGGCAATATTGTATGTGTATGTGTCTCCAAGATACCCAATTTTGAGATAATTTCTGCAGGAGCAGTATTGATTGTCCTGCTGAAATGTGATTTTCTGATAAATTCATTATACTTTGTTTTCCCTGCATGTCTTGTTTAGGTATCCTCAAAGATTATTTAAGGGAGTTGCCTTCTCCGTTGATAACTAAACAACTTTATGAAGCAGTATTGGATGCCATGGTAAAAAGACCTTTGAAAATGACAGCAAATGGATGTGAAAATGATTGTAATGATTCAGAATATACAATGGCTCTCTTGGATTGCCTGCCAGAAGTTGAGAAAGTAAGTATTTGTTAACCCATTGAACTAGTGCATGGCTTAAGGCAGCAGTCCCCAACATTTGTGGCTTGGCAGCCCAGCTGTGGGGGAGAGGGGAAGTGACCCTCCTGAGCAGCGGGCCAGCCCGCATACGTTCCAGTGCCTGCCAGCCCGCCACTTGCAACAGTTGAGCTGCACCTGTGCATGCACAGGCTAGCTGCTTGTTGAGCCCAGTTCCGAATAGGTTAGCGGTCCCCAACCTTTGCGACTTGGCCTAGCTGGGAGGAAGAGGGGGAACTGGGCCATTGCACTTGAGCGGCCCAGTTGCAAATAGGCCACTGCCTGGTAGTGAGCCGCGGCCCAGGGGTTGCGGACCCCTGGCTTGAGGAGTACAGGTAGTCCTCAACTTACAACTATTTTCATTTGGTGACTGCTTGAAGTTACAATATTACTGAAAAAAGTGACATGATCAGTTTTCATGCTTATGAAAATCACCATTTGTAATCTTCTCAGCCAGCTTCCGACAAGCAAAGTCAACGTGGGAAGCCATATTCATTTAACAATCTCACAATTCACTTAACTGCAATGATTCACTTAACAACTGTCTTGCTTAGCAATAGAAATGTTGGGTTCATTTGTGGTTGTAAATCAAGGACTACCTGTATCACTTTCACTTTTTCCCTCCTTTTTCCCTCTTCAGAATAAAACTTTGACTTGACTTCCAGTGACTTCAGCTAAGTTGGCTCAATGAATTGATTCACAAGTTGTTAAGACCACATCAAGGATTCTTAATATTTGTGATACCATGATCTCCTAAAATAAATACATGTGTGTACCCACCTCTGAATAATAATAACAATTTCATTGATTAATTGGAGTTAACAGTTTGGCAAAAATATATCATTTTTAATCATTAACATTTAATCTATCATATAAAAGCAAATAGAGCCTTGCAATTCTATTCAGTTTTCATTGAAATGATGAATGACATATAAAACCCCATTTTTCATAGGAAAGATTAATTTCATTTCAGTTGCAAATATGGACTTTATTTTTGAGAAAGCCACTATGTTCTATGTTTATTCTGGATTGATTTTTGCTTTTTATAGCAGCAGTTGGAGAAAATGAGGACTCCTCTGTCAGCTTGTTGAGGGAGCCAATTCTGAGCTGGACTTGCATGCCTTTTTGCTGGAGATAGTCAGAATTTGCTTTGATGTTGCTTGTACAAAGCAGCTGTTGGTTTGTCCAGGCAGAATCACAAGAAGTGATCCAGCTTTGCACATGAAAGCCATTAGACCATATTCAATTTGCTCGATGCCAACTGGGAAGGTTGGCTGCCGGCTTGTCCAGGCAGAATAGGAGCAAGTTCTGGCAGTAACTCAGCTTTGCCATTAGGTTTGCAAAGTCACTTTGCAAAGAAGATTTGCTGGAATTATTCTATAATCAAGCCAGTCTATGTGTGTATAGCAGAATAGATGCAGCACGAAACTTGCTTGCAGTTGCATTGAAAGAAAGACTACTTAAGTATTCCTTTAAAAAAGATTCACCAGTCTGCCTAACCTTAATCCTTCCAAACCCACAGTAAGTTGTTTAATTCCCTTCTCCCTAACAAGTACGAGGAAGTGATGTGAACAGTGATTTGGGGGCTTTCCCTTACTGCTATTGTCTGATGCCAGCTAAAGGTAGACAGTTATGTAACCATTTCTCTCCTTGAAATGTTTGCTGCTGCAACTTCCAGGAAAAAAAAAAGATACAGATCAACACCAAAACATTGCCTGAAGCTACTTGTTCTTGATAATAGCAGATTGGCCGGCAGTACACTAACAGTTGTCCAATTATTGAGGCAAGTTGGATTTTGCTGGTAAATTAGAACAAGGGTTGCGAAATCTACAAAGATCAAGATGACCATGATATGGCATTAAAACTAGCTCGCTTCGTTTTATTTTAGTCTTTTGGAGACTGTGTGAAGTCTTATAGCCCAAATCAGATAGCTTCAGGTAGAGCAAATTGTGAACTGACTGACTGGGGTTTGAGTTAGTATGTGTGGGTAGAAAAAAGAAAGAAAGTAAAGTTCTGTTTGAGAGATGGAGAGAACAGTGGCCACTAAGCAAATCCGAAGCGGTAGATTCCTCCCACTCCATTTGGGTAAGCCGTCTTTTTTTGGAGGCACTTTATTCAACCTCTTTTGATATTAGAAAAGTATACCGTAGATACGCTAGAGTTGAGGGAAAGAGGCATCATTAAGGTTCAGGACACCATAAATTAATATAGGCATGGGGTTATTCATGCCTATGAATCCAGGGGTGGGATGAATGGGGTGAAATCCAGCAGGTTCTGACAGGTTCTGGAGAACCGGTAGCGGAAATTTTGAGTAGTTTGGAGAACCGGCAAATATCACCTCTGGCTGGTCCCAGATTGGGGTGGGAATGGAGATTTTGCAATATCCTTTCCCCAGGAGTGGGGAGGGAATGGGGATTTTGCAGTATCCTTCCCCTGGAGTGGGGTGGGAATGGAGATTTTGTTGTATCCTTCCCTGCCACGCCCACCAAGCCACACCCACAGAACCGGTAGTAAAAAAAATTGAATTTCACCATTGGTTATTACAATGTTTCATATGCTTTGGAAATTAGGCTGAGAATGGGAAGTACCCACTAGCACCTAAACTAAGGGACACAATCACCTGGACCCCTTTGCTCTTTTAGCATGATTGTGCAGGTGCCCCTGTTTGTGCAGCCTCTTTTAACTTTGCACTGCCAGAAATCACAGTTTTTCTGTGTCTTTCCATTATTCCACACAGCAGGTCTCATATAATAAGCAAAGGGAAGCACATGAAAGGGAACTTGTGCCTTTAAGGGCTCCCACTTGGCAATTCTTATCAGGACTCCAAACTGTAGCTAACCTTATGGATTTGGATTGGAAAGGTTTTATCCTGGGAGGAGAGATTTGTTATGCATGTGCAAAGCAGTGAAATAATCAGATCAGTTTGGTGGTAGCAATATGATCCAATGGTTTCTTTAAATCCGATCTCCAACTCACATTTTTTGCACACTGTCAAATAATACAGAAGGATTTAATTCAAAGTTATTGGTAGAAACAAATGGTTTTCAAGCAAAGTTGAACACACTGAATACTTAATGAATAGTCCTCAATCATTTGTTTAGTGACTGTTCAAAGTTACAGTGTCATGAAAACAGTTATTTATAATCAGTACACATGTTTAACAACTGTCTTGCTTAGCAAGGGAAATTCTGGTTCCAATTGTCATAAGTTAAGGACTACCTGTAATGCACTTGATTTGGTAATAATAATTTATTAAATTTTGTGCTGTCCAACTGCCAGCTACTCTGGACAATACACAAGGTTTTTCTCCTGGCAAGCTACCATTTTCGGGCACCTATGCCTAAAACATGCTCCTTAATTAATTTTATATGGTGTCATAATATGCTGAGCTACAATGTGGAAACTTATTCGTCTGTTGCAGAGAACCTAGTGAAGGAAACCATCTGTGGCCTTTTATGGGCAGGCAGCTAGACAAAACATTTTTCTTAGCAGAATTGCTTCCCTCAGATCTTACAAAAAGATGGTTTTATTTATCATCAGCATCTCTTCCCTTCTTTTTCACTCTGCTTTGTATTTAACCCTAGACATGTTATTTGACCATATATTTCCCTTTCTAAGTAATTTTGGTTATGAAAGGGCACTTCATAAATTATTGCTTTCAGCTAAGAACATTCCCCCCAAATGTTGATTAAATTATCTTCTGTCTTTGCAGTGGAATGCCAACATAGATTTTATATATGTTTTCACTAGTATGGTATCTTTTTTTTTTTAAAAAAGAGATAATTTATTCATCTTGCAATCTGCAATAGCTGTTGCAAATAAAGAATTATAAATCACACACCAAAAAAAGCCAAAACCAAAAGAATCCAATTAGGCTGGGAAAGACGTTTTTCTGAAACTTCAGAGGGTCTAATCAGATAATAATTATGAGCTGGATTGTGTGGTATTCTAATTTTGGTAATGCAGCTTCCTGTGTTCTTAATGAAGTGGTGGGAACATCTTACTCTGTTTGTTGGTTTTGGCACAAGAAAAATTAGTTTCATAGAAAGTTTGCCTGTGACCCCAAAGGACAAACAAATCTGGGGAAAGGAATCTTTTTTACACAAGAGATGAGCCCCAACCAAATATTTCCAGCCATTTAAGTACCAATTATGGGGCAGAATTTCTGTGCTATTTAGTTTTAGTTAAATGCAGTGCTATTAAATTGGTTCATGGGAATAGGCTGATTGTTAAAGCCTTTCTCCAAGGTGTTTTGTGTAGTTTATTTCCAGGTAAGTATGCAGAAAATTGCAGTTCACTGGCCTTTGCAAAATATTTCCTTAAGGGCATGTATAGGATAGTGAGCAGCTGCAAAATCCTCAGATCTGTGTGCTCTTCTGCTTCACAAAAAGGTATTCTTGAAATGTTATCTTAAGTGGACACCGCTAGTGGGCATGAATGACAATGTTGTGATGGAATTAAAGGAACAAGGCCTTCAATAATATTGCCACTGCCTCGCTTCTTAATTACATTTTTCCCCTGTGATTAATGAACTAATACCATTCTTCTTTTTCTTTAGGCAACTCTAAAGATGCTCTTGGACCATCTGAAACTGGTGGCTTCATACCATGAAGTAAATAGAATGACTTGCCAGAATTTAGCTGTGTGTTTTGGGCCTGTATTACTTAGTCAGTGGCAGGAAACTACCAGCCACAACAACAGAGTGTTCAGTGATTCAGAAGAGCTGGCCAGTGCCTTGGATTTCAAAAAACATATAGAAGTTTTACATTATCTGCTCCAGTTGTGGCCAGGTAAAAAAAATTCTCACAATGGAGAACATTTAATTTCATTCAAGGCAATGTATTAATCTGTTGCAGTAGAAGCAGTGGAATCTCTTGCATTGTTCAAACTTTTATTGTAGCATAAACTTACAAAGACAAATTTATTATGCCATATTATTTATACCTGTTATTATGGTATATCAATTATATTATAACTTTATACTATTGTAACCATTTTTTCACTTTATTAGTTATATAAATTAATATCTTTCTAATGTACCCTTTTACTTTTGCATTTGTTCCAGGCTTGTGTCCTTAAGTTTCTTTAATATAAAGATGAATGGGATTTTTTTTGCACCCACAGTAAGAATATAAGATCCAGCCATCTGAAACAGCTGAAACTGTGTGTTTATTATCAGTGCCCTGAAGCGTCCCCATTGACTTAACTCAAGGACTATACTCATGGCCATTGTCTCTATGTCCAAAAAGCATCGCTTTTTCATGAGCCTTATTTCCACCACCAACAACTTTTTTTTTTGTCTTTACAATTGGGGACTTCTGCCATTTCCTTCTTTCTCTAGATTTATTATTGGATAACCTTGGTTCTATCTATAACTTCTCTCAGGCAGATATTTAGGGGCGTAATTTTTGGCCTTGGTTTAACTTCAGCAGCTAATTTTTCAGACAGATACGAATAGGTTACACCGAACAACCCTAATTGTTTTTGGAGCAGTTGATCTCTGCTTTAGCAATAGCATCTTCTGGTGGTCAGATGTGTAATGCCACTGTTGTAATGCCAGCTTTTCTTTAACACTTAGCAATAGCACTTAAGACTTATATACCGATTCACAGTGCTTTACAGCCCTCTCCAAGCAATTTACAGAGTCAGTATATATCCCCCAATAATCTGGATCTTCATTTTACCCATCTTGGAAGGATGGAAGGCTGAGTCAACCTTGAGCCAGTGACAATCGAACTGCTGACAGCTGGCAGTCAGCAAAAGTAATCTACAGTTCTAACCACTGCACCACCACAGCTCTTTGAAGACTCATTGTTAGCACAATGATCAGGTTGTTAGTTGAACGAAAGTCAAGATGTTTTTTCCCCCTGAATGTGGACAACTGATATTATCTGCTCAGATAAAACATATGGAAATAAGCAATATAGCTGCTTGATTGGTGATTCAAAATGGAGTTATTAACAATCAAGTCCTTGAAGAAGGTTTTTCTCTGTAAAGGTATCTCCTGGATGACTGGGTGTATATTGTCAAAGAAGTGAACTAACATAAGCTTAAGCATTTCAGCCTTTTCTATAACTACAGGGTATCCTGCCAAGTTTTTTGGCTTTTCAAAGATTTAATTAAACATTGTGGAGTGAGCTCTGTTCCTGTGAAGGAGTAAAGCCAAACATCAATCCACTGATTAATATGGAAAACTTGATAACGATGCTTGCGACCAACTTCAAATTTTCATTTATCTGTTTTTTTTATAAATTGAAAAATCATGGTCCTTGTTTATTCAGAAAACTTAATAATACTGGCACTTAAGGTTTAATACATGACCCCTTTGTTCTAAAGAAAAAATCCTAATCAGAAGAGCTTTTGTTGATGTACATGTTTTCTCATCTTTTTAAAACAAGAAACCAGAATTGTTAGGCAAGTAAGATATACTACTTCCAGGGAGATATTTGAACCTGAGTGAAAGTTTACTCATATGATTATCTGAGTAAGTGGCAGGTTGCATTTGTTGGCTTCTGCCTTGTTATGTGATGGAGTTAGCTTTTTATATCACAACAATCTCCCTTAGAAGATCTCCCAATCTTCTAAAGGAAAATCGGGATTAAATATAATGAATATATAAATACTATAACCCCTGGCAGATACAGTTAGAAATAACAGAGCCACTGCAGTTCATGATGGTCTTTGAAGAAAGATATCACATAAATAGCAATAGCACTTAGACTTATATACTGCTTCACAGTGCTTTACAGCCCTCTCTAAGTGGTTTACAGTGTCAGCATATTGTCCCCAACAATCTGGGTCCTCATTTTACTGACCTCAAAAGGATGGAAGGCTGAGTCAACCTTGAGCCGATGAGACTCGAACTGCCTCATAGGATAGATATGCTTGGTGTACCAAATGTTTTCCATTCCACCTAAGAGGCGGAATATACAGGTAGTCCTCGATTTATGACCGCAATAGGGACCAGATAATTTGTTGCACCCCATTTTACAACCTTTTCTGCCATGATCACATGACATCATATGATGCTGAATTGCAACCTTCCCTGCTGGTTTTCCTCATTGACTTCGCTTGTCAGAAGCTACCTGGGAAGGTTACAGAGGGTGATCACATGATGATAGGATGCTGCCACCATTGTATACGCACCACAGTTGCCAAGCACTAGAGATAAACACATCACTGCAGGGATTTTGCAGTAGCAGAAAGTGCTTGAGGTTGATCTTATGTCAATTATTTCAGCACTGTTGTAAACAATTGTTAAATGAACAGTCATAAATTGAGGACTCCCTTTATAAATTTAAGTCTTGAAAGTACACTCTTCTTTTGCTAACTGTCCACCCTCTACAATGGCACTTAATCCTCACTCAGTTTTTTTCTCCTTATGGCTTTCCCGGTCCTACAAGATCTTTACTTTTCACGTTATCTTCCTTCTACATTCTTTATAACAAGCTTCGTCTGCACATTAATCAGTTTTTGCATCTTCTGACAAGACTAGCTAGGGAGATACAACTCCTTCCATCCAGTACTGTTGAAACAATTCAAAGGTCTCCTAGCTTTTTTTGGATCTAATTTCCTTTAGTCTTTGCTGCCATTTTCTCTCCATTCCTTATCAAGCCTTATTGACAAAGTTAGTAAAGATGGTAGGAAGGATGTCCCTTCTGTGTTCCATTACACAACCAGAATATTGTGATCAGCAAAAATAACAATAGAATCAATAATGATAACAATAGTAGAACCAAAAATCGTAATAATAGAAATAATAATAATAATAATAGTAATAGTAGTAATAATAATAATAATAATAATAATAATAATAATAATAATAATAATAATAATAATAGAACCATTACTACAGAGAGGTGCTTGGAAGAGAAACTTTTACAGTTGAATTATGTAGCAGTTGTTGGTGAATAAAACATTTGTACTGTTTACCATAGGAAGGCGATAACAAGAGGAGACTTAGTTTCTAGAGCTGTAAAACCATGAGTTCAGGTAACAAAAGTGCCAAATGTGTGTTTGTTATGCCTGCTTTTTCTTACATAGTTGATTGTAGATCGCATTTGGAAGCTCTTCTTCGAACTGTACTGTGATTTTGGACTGCGATTAACTTGCAAAATTAACTTGCAGAGTTAATCAGGTTAAACTTCCAATTTTAATAGATTCCTCCAGCGGCAGTAGACAAAGGCATGGTAGTTTTAAGATGAAATGTTTACTAGTTGGCTTTTCCTTTTCAATATAACTTGACTGGCTGGTACCAAAATCAGTACAATAGAATTATTGGCTGTTCAGTGTGCATGCATTAAATGCATGTTCCCAAGTCATAGACCGGTGGAAAAAAATAAAATTGTCATATTGCTACTTTCTTTTAAGGTGTACTGTTAAGTTAACATGAGTTCCAATTATGCTTTATCATAGTGCAACATCCATCAGCTGAAGAGTCAGCCTTACTGGAGCAGCAGTCCTCTGTGAACTATCTGAGGCCTAAGAAACAGCGGCCTCAAATGTTAAATTTAAGCGAAGTGTCTGGGATCTTGCGATCCAGGCCAGCCAGACTGGACAGCCCTTCAAGCAACCGCTATGCCGGAGACTGGACTGCTTGTGGAGAGAACTACTTTGTCAGTCCCAAAGAAGCTCTGAGCGAAGCAGACTATGATGATGTCCCTTCAGAAGAGACAGAAAGTGGGGATGATGGCAGCAAACTGAATGCTTCCAGAACGCTGCTCCGGCGGCCCATTTGTGTGTCCAAAGAACGCACCTTTCAGGCCTATCTGACAATGCAAACAATGGATTCTGCGGTGAACCATCAAGTTAACCTCAAAAACTTGCAAGAAAGCATTGATACTCTGATAGGAAACCTGGAACGGGAACTCAATAAAAACAAGCTCAATATGAGTTGTTGATCACTTTGCTTTGCTATGTCTCCAGTTTTGTATATCCCTTCTGTTGTGTACCACCAGGAGAGTATAAGGAAAAGGATGAGTTTTGGATGGGGGCTGGGTGTCTGTATTATAATTGCATTGGGCAATGTTGGAGATCACTGGGTAAGTTAGGCATTCATATTACAGTCTTTCTCCACCATTTGAAAACACACTACTTTTTATAAAACAATTCCGCAATATTCCTTGTCAAGGTACTATGCACTTAGGAAATTTGATCAGTTTATTGAAGATATATAATGCCTCATCTCTATCTTTGTTATACTGGAACAGTACACTTTGTTCCTGAAACCTTAGCCCTGGTACGGATGTTCTCCCAGAAGAGAGGAGATTAATGTTGCTACTTAAGTGATAATATGCTGCACAAATTCTATGTAGATCACGTTCTATTATATTGACACCTTTTCACTTGCAATGCAAAGGCTGCTATGAAAAAAAAAAGGCTTTTTGATAAATTCAGTTGTATGAATATTGTTGTATTCCTGTAGTAACACTTTCAAGCAACTACTTAAAACTTGCAAAAATATTTTTCTAACTTTTGTTTTGTAGATATTTATATGTGAAAAACATTAGGCGTGATTTGGGCCTTTCTAGTTGAGGTACGTTTCATTGCGCAGGATTAGAGTTACTTCGCTCTGCTCCAATCTGGTGCTCTGAATTTATGTTAAACTACAGTTCTTTAATTTCCCAGCATAGTGATGATGATGGTGGTGATGTGTGTGTGTGTGTGTGAGAGAGAGAGAGAGAGAAGAGTAGAGAGAAAGAGAGAGAGAGAGACCAAAAGGTGGGGGTAGATTAGCATAGGAAATATCATTTCTTCATAGAGAGCAAGCCCTGCTATTGCATTAGATGATTGTGTAAAATGAAGTGGTTGTGCACTATTTCTATAGTTTGCTCACCCTTCCCCCTCATGCCAGTCAAGTAAAACTGCTGATGCAAGAGGTCAGTATTTTTTATGCCCAATTGGAGATGTTATACATGACAACACTGTAAAAAAGAGTACATGTAGCTCAGGGTTGAACTGTAGAATCCTTGGTGCTTTCCAGGGTGGATTTGATTTAAATCGAGTTGATTTAAATCACAATTTAAATCATGATTTAAATCACTAGTAAAAAGGCTTGATTTAAATCAACTCGATTTAAATCATAATTTTTAAAGAGCAACTGTCATCTCTGCTACTCCTTTGACCCATTGTTGACTCACCGATAGTCCCAGTGTTGCAGAATATACAGCCTCATGCTACATAACTAAGCTCCATTTCATGCTGAATAAACTAAATTATTTATGTATCTTAAATAGAAAACTATCTTACGATAGATTTTTACCCCAAAAGTTTTTTATTAAAATAAATTTGATAAAAATCAAAAAAATCCGATTTAAATAAAAAAAATCTGATTTTTTTGATTTTTTAAAAAAAAATCATTGATTTTTATCCACCCTGGTGCTTTCTGAGCTTGGCTGCTTGTTTGCAAATGTTTATCCAGCTAAGTAGCATCAGCATTTTAATGGGTAATGAAACGTCTGCAAGCAAATAGTCATGCTCAGATAGCACCAAGGACTCCACGGGACAGCCCTGTGCCCATCTGGCCCACTCTAGATCTGAGAGCTGAAAAGAGACTTGCCTGTTGTGTTGTCAAACAACCACACATAAGCAATTGTGCGATACCCTGGACAACAAAGTGGTTGAATACTGAGAAATTTGAAGGCTGCAACTAAAAGCATACAAATTACTTTAAGGTATCCAGGATAACAAATTGTCTAGACACAATGGCCTGTTTGTCACACCTTTCTGAAATTCTCATTGTGAAACTAAAAACATGTTTCTAGAGATGCTTTGAGACTTGATTGCTTGGCAGAGACCATAACAGCTACCAAATCAAAACATTTTTTTATTATGGTCCAACAAGTTATTCTACCAAATTATCCACAAATATGCACATTTAAAAAATATGTAATGACTTTAAATGCAGATCTTTAATCTGATCAGCCTAATGTTAGCACTTTGCATAGACAATAATCAATGCAGTCCAGGTGCTGATCGTTAAAGCATCTCCAAATATAGTGAACCATGCTTAGGCATTATATCAGTCTCATTGGATTGGAAATACAGAAGCGTAACTTTGTATATCATTACAGGTAGTGCTTGATTTATGACCACAATTGGGAATGGAATTTTGGTTGCTAAGCGATGTGGTTGTTCAACAAGTCGTCACATGACCAAACCCAGTTTTACAGCCATTTTACTATGGTTGTTAAAACAAATCACATAGTCATTAAATGAATCCTGGGTTAAGTCAATCACATAATCATAAATGCAAGCCAGTTGCCAAGTGCCTAAACGGTGATCACATAATGAGGTAGGAGTTCTAGTGTGATGGTTGCAATTTCGAGGATGGATCATAAGTAATTCTTTCCGAGGCCTTTGTAACTTTGAACCATCATTAAATTAATGGTCATAAGTTTAGTACCTTACCGTGTATCTTGTCCAGTTTGTTTCCCGAATAGGGAATTTTCCCTTCTGCTATGCTAATGGGAAGCTCCTCAATTTTGATAGTTGTGCTGCTTCTTTATTTGTGATAAAGAACCACTTCTTATATACTTTAAATCTGACCTCCTAATACATTTCTACACCTTTATCCATCCTAGGGAGACCCCCAAAGAGTTCGCCTCTTTTTCAAAGGTTGATATGGATGAAGAAAGTGCCTTTTAAAGTAATGTGTTTTAAATGGCCTGAAACATTTTGAAGGTCTTCATTCCAGTTGGTCTACCTTCTTTAATCCCAAGAATGTCCTTAAGTGCTAAGACGATCAATGTATTGTTTATCTTGCCAGGTTTCTCAAATGATTATTGACAGCTTTTCCAGTTTGTTGTAAGAAGGGTAAATTTAATAAATCTTGATTGGATTGGTCTGCAGATTTTTAATATTCACTGTGAACCAAAGTAAATACAAGCCTGATGCAAATTTAAGTTCTGTCTGCAGTTAGGCAATAAGACCCAAGCAGCAATAAATTGCAACCAGGTGCCTCTTAAAAAAAAGAGATAGCAATGGAGTAGAGTATGTCTTAAATGGCATACCTTTAATAATATTAGTTAGCAAGCAGGGGAAGCCATTATCTTTTTAAGAGTGTTTTGAACACTATTTGCTTTGCATTAACCTTCATCAACTGATGTCTTCAGTTGTTTGGAGATCACAACTTCCTCAATTCCATCTAGGAATTCTGGAAATTATAGTCTTAAAATAGCTGGAGGACAAGGAAAGGGTACCCTATATTATAGGTATGGTTTCCCCCCCCTTGTTTATTTACATTATCAGTTCTCCTCTTTTTTTCTTATGGATCTGGTACAAGTGCTATTTAATTTGTTCCTTGATATTGACTATTATAATTATTTTAGCTATTTATTGACAATAGGATGACTGAATTTGGTGCATGATTTTTGCCACATTTTCCTTAAAGAAATATTTCAGCATTTTATACAGTCTGGTTAATTTATTGATGATGATGATGATGATGATGATGATGATGATGATGATGATGATGATTAGAGTGGCAGTACATGACTACAGTCATTTCAATATAGTGATACAGTTTAAAAACATATATTTTAACCTGAAGCATTTATTGATAAGCTGACGTATTTTTTTAAACCGTATGTACAGGAAGTGAATTATTTTTGAACTATGTTAATTCTGAATAAAACCCAAAATTCAAAATAACTTGATTTTGTATTTTTGTAAAATGTTATTATTTTAAAAATATATTTTAAAGATAAGACTGTTAACTCGTGTGAAAAGACTTTATATGTGCAGGATTGTTAGTCTGCTTCACTATGAAATGGGAAGAACACAGACTTAATCTAATGTATCAGTTTGAGTGATGATATGGAGGGGCAAACCTTTCACAGTTGATAAGAGCAGATGGCCCTTTTATCAGATCAGAGTCCATCTTGTCCAGAATCCTTTGAAGAAGAATGAATGGAATGGAATGGAATGGAATCACTACTTCCACTCAAGAGTAGATGTCATTTTGGATACTCCACTTGTTGCAGTCCTTGGTGTCAAATCAGTACACCTGATGGCCTGAACAACACTGGCAAGTCTACTTTAAATTATTCCAATGTTACTGATGCAATGCAATGCAATGCTGCATTATAAAAAAGAAATGCAGTACATTGATGCTTTTAAAGCAAAAGTGGCTCCATTCTTTATCCTGCAGTAGCCCCACTGAAATATTGTCCAGGATTTTACCTACTGCTACACTTTCAAACATGGAAAATATGAGCATGGCTGTGTATGAACTCAGAATGTTGACCTGGGTGAAAGGTGAGACCTGCATGTAAGTTGATAATACAAAATTCAACCTTGAGTTTTATATGGAGATTCTCCACCATCCAGGTCATCGTTGTCCCAAAGGTGATTTTTCAAGAGGCAACTGGACTTTTCTGTTTTTCTTTGAAGACGTTTCGCTTCTCATCCAAGAAGCCTCTTTGGCTCGGAGCCAGTTGCCACTTGAAAAAACACCTTTGGGGCACTCTTGGAGTTGGCTTTATCTTTTGTTTTCTTTTAACACCACAGCTTCCACAATGCCATATTTTACAAATAAATAGGCGTTTATTAAATCTGCATTATGACACTACAGCAAATTAACAATAAATATTGCTTAATTAATATTGCCTTTATTATACATAATATAGGGATAGGGAAGAACAGCATATACATGTTCATCTGCTATCTTTGCCCATTCTCACTGACGAAGGCACAATTAGCAGTGAATTAAAAATAGCTGGGTGTCTGTTTCATGGAAGGACTTACAGTATAAATTATATATGTTGGGAGTCACAGCTATTCTGAAGTTGCTCATTATCGTTAAGTAGTGCTAAAACTACATGTTTCTTGAGGGGCTAAATTTATCTGGTCCCTTGATTAATCCAAGTCGAACCAATATGGCTTTCTCCAAATCCAAAAATTCTACATAATTTTGATTGGTCTGTTCTTCCATTAACTCTCTTGATCGCTGACCACCAACCACTTTCTGCAAAGAGAAGAGAAGAATGAAGGAGGAGGTGGGGGGGGAAGGAATGATAAGTTACCCTACAAACAGGCATTTTTCCCGAGTTTCACCAGATTCCATCTTTATATTCCTGAGACGATATCTACTTTCAAAATAGCCAGCAATATCATATGCTAAATGTTATTTTTAAAGTAACTTAGTAGTCAAGAGGAGTCCTATGGGACTGGGTGGCTATAATAAATAATAATATTTTAAAACAGCCTTCTCAGCTTGAGGTTCTCAGAAGTGTTGGGAATACAACTTCCAGAATTCCTAAGCAGCATGGTTATGGGATAGGCATCTTGAGATCACACCGGTAACAGTTCCAGTTTGTCTGGAGGTCATTGTGCAGGTAGCCCTCGACTTACAACCAGTTGCAACTGCACTGAAAAAAGTGACTTACAACTGGTCCTCACACTTACAACTATTGCAGCATCCCCACAGTCACATGATCAAAATTCAGGCACTTGGCAACTGGCATGTATTTATGCCAGTTGCAACATCCCAGGGTCATTCATCACCATTTGTGACCTTCCCAGCTGACTTCTGACAAGCAAAGTTACTCACTTCACAACCGCAGTGATACTCTTAACAGCTGGCAAAAAAGGCTGTAATATCAGGCACAATTCACTTAATTATCACCTTGCTCAGCAAGGAAAATTCTGGTCCTGATTGTGGTTGTAAGTCAAGGACTACCTGTACAATCTGATAGAGACCATTATAGGGGCAAAATAAGAAAAGAAAGCAGACTAGAGACTCAGTACCATTTTTGGCTTTTCTGCTTCCAGGAATTCAAAATGAAGTATGGCGTAACTCAGGGGTGAAATGTAAAATCTGTTACTACCGGTTCTGTGGGTGTGGCTTGGGGGGGGTGTAATGTGACTAGGTGGGCGTGGCCAACTTTTTTTTTTTAACTTTTCAAAGCATTTTTTCTAATGCTTTGAAAAGCCTTTCTGCCGATCAGGAACTCAGCTGGGATCGTCAGAGGGGCTCTTTAAAAAATGCCTCTCTACCATCAGGAAACTCAGCTGGGATCGTCAGAGACTTTTCAAAGCATTTTTTTATCACCTCTTCAGCCAAGAGGTTGCAGAAAAAAATGCTTTGAAAAGCCTCTGATGATCCCAGCTGAGCCGCGATCATCAGAGGCTTTTTTTTTTTACTTTTAAAAACATTTTTTCATCGGAAGAGGTTGTAGAAAAAATGCTTTTAAAAGTAAAAACAAAAAAGCCTCTGATGATCATGTGGCTCAGCTGGGCATGGGGGGAGGGCGCAGAGATTTTTGCTACCGGTTCTCCGAACCACCCACCGCCATCGCTACCAGATCGGGCGATCCAGTCCAAACCGGGAGCATTTCACCCCTGGCTTAACTGCAATTAGCCCAAACCACCATTTGGTTTTGGATTTACTAAGATATAGTATTGTAGCTATTTAAAAAAAAAATAGAAAACTTCCTGTTGCTGAAGAAAGTTAAAATAAAGTAAAAACTTGCATTTTATTTTTCCCTCCCTTTCCTCATAATCGCTTTCCACAGATTGCAAGTCTAAGAGTAAGGAATGTTTAAGTTTGTATTGGTTTGTATTCAGAGGTGGGTTTCAGCAGGTTCTGACCAGTTCTGGAGAACCGGTAGCAGAAATTTTGAATAGTTCGGAGAACCAGTAGTAAAAATTCTGACTGGCCCCTCCCCATCTATTCTCTGCCTCCTGAGTCCCAGCTGATCCGGAGGAAATGGGGATTTTGCAGTAACTTTCCCCTGGATTGGGGAGGGAATGGAGATTTTACAGTATCCTTCCCCTGGAGTGGGGTGGGAATGGAGATTTTATAGTATCTTTCTCATGCCACGCCCACCAAGCCATGCCACGTCTACCAAGGCATACCCACAGAACCAGTAGTAAAAAATTTTGAAACCCACCACTGTTTGTATTGGTTTGTAACATTATCTGAGAATGTTTTTAGCTGCAGAGGATAGAAAACCTTGTAAAAATAATGATTAATAAAGGATTAGGCGCAATGAAAATATTCTTTGTTCCTAAGGATATTCAATTGGCCACAATCCCCTACACCATAAACCCACTTATTTTAATCTACTTTTTCATAGTTCACTTGCCCAAGAGGTTTGTAAATTAAATAATATTCATACCAGCCTTATCTTAGCTTTTCAGTCTCTAACGATCTTACCGTTCTCTTCATCAGCTTTTCATACTCAAGTGCCACCCTTTCTTGATCTCTGAATTCCTGCCGCTGCTCAAAATACTCCAGATGTTTGACTTCTCGCTCAAAGTAATGAAGAACACTGGAACGCTGACATTTCCAATGTATGTTTAATTATAATGAGCATGGTTTGTCCATTCATAAAAACATGTTTAGCTTTATACAACTACAAGAACCGAAGAAACCTGAATACTATCTAGCCTGCATTTCACAGTGGAAGAGTGGGATATAAATGCGAGAAATAAAAAGAAATGAATATTTTTGTTAGGCTTGGAGAATAGGCCTATCCTAACCAGTGCCATCCAGATGCTTTCAGCAAATATCTTGCCAGTAAACTTGTTAATGGATGCTAAAATCCAGAGTATCTGGAGAGCACCATTTGCTAAATCCAAGAAGTGTAATTGTTCACCAGGATAGAAAACGGGACATGGTACATTCTGGTCCTGCCTTAGGTACAGAAGACGATGGGGTGACTTTAGCCCAATCGCTATCTCTCAGCCCAGCCCACCGCACAGAGTTGTTGTTTTGGAGAAAATGGGAAGAGGAAAAATTATTGGGTAATTTGCTACCTTGAGTTATTTATAAAAATAATAAAGGTGGGGTTTAAATAAAAATAAAATAAAATCCAGTAGCTGTAAATGTGATCATTTTACTGATTATTTGAAGTTCTCCCAAATGCTATTCAGGGACTTTTTTCCTGTATAACTGACTGATACTATGGTTTATATGTAATGAAATTCTTCATCTTTTCTGACCTTATTAATTGATCTGTGGGATAGCAGATTCGCTGATGGAGGACACAAAGCTGCATTTGCACTATCCTATTGCCTTTCTTGAATCAGATGTTTCTTGCCTAATGTGGCCTACATCTCAGTTTTGTTTGCTAAATGGCAGGGTTTGCTAGGTGCCACAAGTTGCCCCACGCTACTCTATTCTGCAACTTTCAATAGCCACCCACAAAAATTTATGAAATGAGTTACAAACCTCATTGCTGGAAGGGTGAATTAATGACCATGAAATTTCTAAAATATGCAAGGTGCCAAAATCATCAGCAACTGCTAGGAAGTGTTGCTTTGCTGTAGGAGAAGACAGAAAATGTTATTGCGGGTGAAAACATACAACTTCTAACCATTGGAAGAGTATTTGCTTTCATTATTGATGTTGGTGAATAGGTGTGAAAATGCTCATTTCCAGAATACATTCTTCCACTTGTTGCCCAAGCAAATGGTATTAAAACCTGTTAGATTGATATAACCTGCTAAAATATATTGGTTCATGACTTTGGAATAGAGTTGCAGATTTTTGCTCATAGTTAAAATTCTTACACAGAATTCTAATGATAAGTAAATCTGATTTATGCTCTCTACTGTAATAATGTTTCTCAAACTTGAGAACTTGGGAACTTTAAGATGACTGGACTCCCAAGAGTTGAAGTCCACCCATTTTAAAAGTTCTCAAG